AACCAAAAAGAGAAAATGCTTTACCGTAAAAGTAGGGGCCATAGATGGCCACTGTGTGAAAACTTGCGTATATCTGGGAGGTTCTTGGATGACACATTCTGTTGATTTTGTTCTTATGTTTTTGTTTAAAATGTTCTTTGTTTAACCTGTTTATTCAAGGACACTGTATGCAATCTGCACCATGAATGCCGCTGATCGACACTTACTGTATGCTCCCCGAGACACTCATGTACTGTCATCAGTCTTGATGGCTGCAAACACGTGTGTTGTGGCTTTATGGTTTTCCATAAAGTTACTCAGCAATCACATATATCTAAAAGAAAACTTTATTTTATAAATTGATAAGATTAGATTACTTCTAGAGGATGATATAATATATAGATTTTCTAATATATCAAATATTATTTTAAAGCAGAAAAAGAGACAAAAGTCAAACCTAAATATGTTTCACATCCTTGCGTCATGCATCCACATAAGCATCCCAAAGATTTCTTTTACATGCTATTTATTATGTAAAACAGACTTAAGTACTGGTCCATTGTACTGCGGTCTTTGCAGGAGAGTGGGAGTGGGGGGGGGGTGGGGGTCACTGGTGCATCTGGTTCTGACTTAATTGCCGGATTTCATTTTTGAAATGTTGGGACAAACTCATCAAGAACTGTAAAAAGTATATTTCAATGGAATGTTCATGATCTATCTTTTTATATTTTGAAGAAGAAAAAAACTAGCGACATATCAATAAAGCGTCATAATTGAACATATTTCTACTATTGAGACTTAAAAATGTATGAATGTCAATGCGATCTAATGTGAACCAATCTCCATAGCAGCTTGAATGAATAACTGATTAAAAGTCATGAGATGCTTTTTCAGAGGTAATAAAAATTGCTCAAAAATCACTGAGATCAACTTAAAATAAATGAAAAGGTAATCTCATGTATGTGTCGGCTTGTTTACTGGCCTCTGAAGGCTGTGGGCTGAGAGTCACCGCTCGCTCTGTGCATCGTTCAGACGGGCGACGACAACAACAACACGACACAGACTGATTTAATCTGACTGGAAAGGAGGACACAGGGAAAGTTTACCATGAAGGGAAACAGTGGCATGTTAGATGTGACTTGGAGGTTTGATGAGTCAAAGAGGAAATCTACAGGAACATCACTTCATATAATCTAAAAATCTGAGATTAGCTCTGATATTATAGATGAATCCGTTTTCTCAGTTTTGTATCCAAGGTTAGAAAATCCTTACTGATACATGAATAACCATGAAAAGAGAGTTTTTTGGGGAAACTAGCATGTAATCTGAATTCTTACATTCAAAAAGTTGGAATTATTTGGTTATGTTCTTGTTTTTCAAGGAAAACACAACCGGCAAAAGGAATAGCAAATTAACTGGACACAGACTTAGTTACTGATTTAAATAATTAAGATTTTCATTTTTTTAAAATTTAACTTGAATTTTAAAAACACACATTTTGGAGAAATTGTAGCCCGGCCAGTTTTCTGTGTCCTAGCTGTCAGTTCCTTGGAGCAGCTAAGAGCCGGCTGCCTGTTTCATAATTGTTGCTGACGCATTTAGGTGAGTTTTGGGTCATAATCCCGGGTTATCCAGGCCCTAGCCAAGTGCTGTCAGCTGGTAATGGCTGGATATGGATACATGCAGGTGTGAATGTTTTATTTGAAAAGCATTTGATTCATTAAAATTGTCAGAAAGTTGCAGAGAAATACATGTTTTCTTGAAAAAAAAATGTACAAGTGCTTCCAAACTTGTGAGTAGTGGTGAACATCTGAAGGTTTGGCTGGGATGTGGAGCCACCTAATGGGAGTCAGAATGATCTGCAGAGCTGCAGAAAATCTGAAGAGATTAAAGCTAATTCACAGAGATAAAAACCTGCTCCTGTAGGACCATGTATATATATATATATATATATATATATATATATATATATATATATATATATATATATATATATATATATATATATATATATATATATATATATATATATATATAATTATTATTATTTAACATAATAGGTTTCATCTCTAGTGAAAAAGCTCATCAACTGACTGGGATGTCATGGGAATGTTTTAGGTAAATCAGGGAAAAAGAGTGAAATGTCTCCAAAGTGTGCCATATCTCTTTTTTTCTGCAGTGGCACAAAACCTGAGCTCCCTCTAGTGGTAGAACACTAGTGGAAAATTTATTATGTCAATATTTTATTTACCATATCGAAATGCAGGGCAGGGAGACAGTACTTCACATTTAGCAAAAAAAAAAAGGTCAGATATTTGGCTTGGATTTATTTGTTTCCAAACTGACTAATTAAGTTTTACAAGGTTTTTGTTCTGAGACTTCTTCATTGGTTTTATCTTGGTTTTTCCCCTAAAAATCACAGAACAACTCCTATTTTTAATACACTTTACTAGTTTGTTGTCATCTTGATTCACATTTCTTTTAACTGACTTCCAGACCAACATACCTGAAACCCACCAGGTTTGTGTTTTGATTTTTTCTGAGGTCTGGCCAAATTACCAGACGGAACTTAGTTGGTTCTTTAGAAAAAATCCAAAGGGTTCTATTGAAGGCAACTGGACTTCTTTGGTTTCTTGAAGATGTTTCACATATCATCCGACGAGCTTTTTCAATTCTGCCTGGAATATGGGAGAGTAAAGTTAATAAACACTAACTGTCTGTTTTTGCCTAACGAGATGAAACTATATATGAATTCCCCCCTCCCTACCCCTCAGTTAGAGCAGCATTGTAGGTGAAACCTGAGGCCTCCTCCTCTGTTCAGTGTAGCTCTTTCACATTTACTCCTATCTCAAATCATCTATCCTTTTGGTCCAGAATGTGTACTTTGTCATCTTCAAAAGAGTCTTACCCCAGTTTCACACTGCAAGCATCAGCGTAACGGAACAGCAGCGGAGCGGCTCACTTGCGAACTTCAAAGCGGTCCTTTTCACACCGGGAGAGTCTTGGCCGCGGCACAGCTTCCTCAAAAGAAACTGGTGGTAAACAAAGCTGTTCGGTCACACGTACTGACGTAAGTTATATATAACATTGCAACGTTGCATTTTATTTAGAATATACCCGGGGATTTTACACAGAAGCCGTGTGGTTTCCTGTGTTGCACTATGTGAACTGCGGAAATTGACGTGTCCCAGAAGCGGCTCGCGGAAAAAATAGAACTATCTTTAGTGGCATGGCATGTCACTTCTGGGACACGTCTAGAAATTGTCGTGTCGCGGCTGGTTTAAAACACTCCATAGACTACAGTTGGATTCTATTTGAAGCGGTGCCGCTTCGCCGCCGTTCCGTTCCGCTGATGCTTGTAGTGTGAAACCAGGGTTAGTTTCGCCTATCTAAAGGTCTGGACAGTCGTCACTGCATTGGACTGCATAGACAATGCTTCTTAAAACAACCATGCTTAGCACAATAGGCCCTAACAACATCAACAACTTCTCATGGGATAGGGAGGAGGGGTATTCATAGGTAGTTTCTGCTCATTAAGCAACAATAGACAGCTAAAATTTATAAGCTTGACTCCCATATTCCAGTTAGTATTGACAAAACTCCTCGGATAAGAAGCGAAACATCTTCAAGAAACCAAAGAAGTCCAGTTGCCTCAATTAGAGGCCTTTGAATTACCATAACCTGGATGACTGGGAACCTTCAGCAACACATCAGCACAGAAATCACTGACACAAAATACCTTTATAATTTGAACAAGACTTTAAGTTGAGCAGAGAACACTTTTAAAATATCAAATAAAAAGCAAGAGCCACTTTCTTTCTCACTCACTTTCTTTTCCAATGGGTCCTCACGAGGGTCACAGGTTGTTAGTTAAGGGTGAGCTCCCCAGAGGGACTGATTTGTGTGTGGCACCCACTTAGAGAACAGGATGTATGACTAGTAACAATGTTGTTTGAGAATAAAGTTAAAGTAAAATTTTGATTAGCTAAGAACAGACAGAATGACAGTGTCTGTCTCCAGTAATCCGTGAGCGGGAGGTGAGGGACAACCTGGTCAGGTCTTCGGTCCATCACAGGGACAGAACGAGACAAAATATCAGTCCCGCACTGATACATTGGGACATTTTAGTTTCCAAACAGTCTAACAGGCATGTTTTCGGGAGGAAACCTGCTAACTCCATGCAGAAGGCTTCAGCTGGGAGTCGAACCTGCAGCTTTAGTGCTGTGGGGCGACGGTGCTACCAAACTGGAATCCACAGAGGTGCAACCCTGTAAGATGAGCATTAAGTGCTGATGTAAAAGTCAAATATGTTGACATCATTTACGCAACTGAAACGATTAAAACATACTTTTCTTTTCACTTTGAAGAAAACGTTCATTAATCCAGAATCAGTGAAACAACACAGAGTCGAAGAAAGTAACACCAAAAAAGGTCCAACTCAGCTCTAAAAGTCCCTGACTCTTTCATTCAGGATTGTTTATATTAATTAAATAATGAAAATGATTCGTATTTGTTGTGTTTGTTTCAGGTTTTTCATTCCAGAGAGAATTTCTAAAAACAAGTTTAACTACGTTTTCTTTTCATTTGACATGTTTTCTTCTTTTTAGCCACCTGCAGCTCAACTAGACCACCCGAATAAACTATGATCAAATAGAAAAGTTTAGATTACATTTGTTTAGTTTTTTTAGAAGATAACAAAACTCAGTTTTTTTCTCAGTGAGCATAATAGTTCAGTCTGTCTCTATTAAATCAATTAGGACTGAAAAAGCAAAGGAACCAAAAGTTGAAACTATCTTCTCATTGGGATTCACATATTTAATGTGTAAACTTATGGAATTTAAATGATGATCAATATTTCTATTAACTAGTATTTTTTATCTAAATCTTTAATTTCCACGTTGGTGAGAAGCTGCGTGGGTCTCCTGTCAGTCAAAAGGCGAATGTGACACTTGATTGGGAGGTGAAGGTTGTCATGCTTCATGGCCAAAAGTGAGTCGGGGGGGGGTCCAGGACAGGGGAGGTGGAGCAGGGATCCAATTTCAACACGGCAGCATTCCTAAAAAAATTCAGCTGGCGAGGGAAGGGGTAAGATCCTGGATGTTCCCTGAGCACACAACTGGAGGCAGAGGTTGCGTCCAGGCGGGTCGCTGACTTGAGTTGGACTCAGCGGACACGGACACTGTTTCTGAGACAGACAGGGATGTTGACAGACAACCTGGGAACAATGGGAATTTTCATCCCGCTTCCATTATTCTCCTTTGGCAGCTGATTAACAAACAAGTGAGTTGATTTTATCAAACTTCACATGTTGGTTTGTGTCTTGTTCTGTTTTTGTGTGAAATAAGTTTAACTTGAGCTTCCTTTTTATTAAAAAAAGTCTGCAGCAGTACATGCCCCTCTGCCTTCTTCTTTTAAGGTGATGTGTGATGTTTAACGCCCGGAAACCAGAACCACAGATGGATCTATCCCTCTGATCGCTTTAAAGTTCTGGTGGTCCACACATTCTCAGGAGACTGGTTTGCAGCGCTCTGCGACTGGCAGGGATGGAAGGAGAGGAACTAGGACAGCCCGGTGAAGAAGAGGGCAGAGAAGAACACGGGTCTCTAAAGGAGAAGCTGAACAGGGTGGAGAAAGGAGAGAAGGAGAACAACGGGAGTGAGAAAGAGAAGAAGAAAGAGAGGAAACGTTCTGGGTCTCAGTGGAGGAGTGGGTGGGCTCTGAGTGAAAGACTGGCCATCAACGTATCAGGGATGAGGTATGAGACCCAGCTCCGAACCTTAGCCCAGTTCCCCAACTCCATGTTGGGTGACCCCAGACGGAGGTCACGGTACTTTGACCCTCTCCGGAACGAGCTGTTCCTGGACCGCAACCGTGCCTGCTTTGATGCCGTTCTATATTTCTACCAGTCAGGCGGGAGGCTCCGCCGACCCGCAAACATCCCCCTGGACATCTTTATGGATGAGCTGATGTTTTACGAGCTCGGGGAGGACATCGTCAACCGCTTCAAGGAGGACGAGGGATTTTCAAAAGAGGAGGAGAGGCCCCTGCCAGCCAACTGGGTCCAGAGGAAGCTGTGGATGCTGTTTGAGCACCCGGAGTCCTCTTCAGGGGCTCGAGTCATCGCCATCATCAGCGTGATGGTGATCGTGTTGTCCATTCTCATCTTCTGCCTGGAGACACTCCCTGCCTTCAAGAGAGAGGTCAGAAATGTGATGTTTCACTCTGAATATTTGTTCAACAGTTTAGAGCTTAAATCTAAAAATATGGATCTCAACGGAAATGCCCCCAAAACATTTAGAGCAGCGGAAAGAGCAGAAAAACAATAACAGGCAGAAGAATTCAATAGAAACCAAGTGAATATAGATCAGTAGGTGGAAAACATTTGGTTTTCCATGTTTTCATTCATAACTGCAACACCGAAAGGGAATATTCAGATTAAATAAGGATTTTAGTTTTTTTTCACCTGTTATTTCCGGTTTGCTTCCATAAGATAAAGGAATGGGCTCCAACCATCAGTGAACGGAGTCAAAATGTTTCACAGATTCACAGAAAGTCTGTTTTTATATGTAAAAAACAAAACAAAACTAAGCCAATCAAATAGATGAATGCTCTGCATCAAAGCAGTAGGAGGCACAAGATGAGAACCACCTGCCATCCCACCAGAGAAGAGAGGATATTTTTTATACATGAAGAGAAAAACTAACAAAAGTCAAAGAGACTTTAGAGAACAATTCCTAGTGCCATTTAAACATTAATGTAAGCTCAAACCTCTGGTTTTAAGTTGGGCATGCATCTGATTAACACATAAAATCAATTCAGCCAAACATTCTATGCACTTTCATGTTTAATGTCTTTCATGACGAGAGTGTTGTTGTGAGTCATTAAAGGTGAACTAGACAGTTTTGGCTTGCTTTTAGCACCCCCTAGTGTTCATGTTTAGAACCAAAAGTAAAACTTTTCTCTTAACAGTGCGTTCATCTTTTTAAAGCCTTAATCTAACAGCTTAAATGTCTCCCCAGCCTTCATTAGTGTCTACTGGATTGAGTCATCACTAAATTGAATAAATCAGCTGTGTTCATGATCTAAAACATGCACGAAGCAGACTGCAGCGCCAGCTATGTCAGCTCTTTTTTTCCCCTAAGTCCCAACAGAGCTCTGACTCTGAAGTTGCAAGTGGAATATTCTGGCCACAGGGGGTGATAGAGGCTGGGTGACCTTTCATTAACCTTTTAGTACTAGCTCAAGAAAATGATTTAAAAATGTGAAAAGTTGCCAAGTATCCCTTTAAGTAATCAGTAACTAAAAATGATCATCTGTGACCAAAGGTGTTTTCTAATTATGAGTCAAACTCAGTAAATTATGTTCAATTAGATTTTATATATTTTTTATTTCACATGTTTAATCACACACTAAAAAGTCCATATTAATGGTGCTAACAATGAAAACGTCATGTTTTTCTTCAGTTTGATTCAAATCTGCATTCTATAAATAAAAATATTTGTAAATAACAGAAAATGTGATAAATGAAAATTACCCAAACAGTTTTCACAGTGTGGGTTCGTCCTAAATTCATACTCCTAGTTTAAATTTGAATCTCTGAAAGATAAACAGTTCGTGTATCGTCGCTAAATGTCGGCCATTAAACAAACTCCCCATCAAACCAGCGGGGCTTCAAAAGACACTTTTGACTATTTGGGTCAAAGGAAACATGAGGTGATGTGAAGCAGGTGTTTAGGTAAACACTCTTGGAGAGCGTGTTTGGAGGAGAATCTGTTGGCCAACCTGTCTGGAAGAAGACCAGAGAAAAGCTGCAGGAAGCTCTGGGTGCGATTATTTTAGCCGGCTGTTAAATTTGATATGCATTCAGGAAGGGAACAGGGAGAAACATTTGGAGGCTGGAAAACAAGCGATGGAGAGGAGTTAGATGTGTAAATGAAAGGTCACGAGTGATGGTGCACATGGGCAGAGGCGAGGCGAGGCCCACAACCAGAAACTTAAAAGGTCTGACAGGATGAGCAGTGGACAGTGGGTCATGTCGACACATTCCTCCGTGCTGAGCCCAGCTGGCTCAGCTGCCAGGAAACGACTGTAATTTACTCCTGCTACAGCACCCGGAGAGCGGGGAGATGGGAATACCGACAGAGGTGGAGATGGATGAGGAGCAGCGTATGAGACACTCATGTTTCGTTTCTGAGATCGGTTATATTTAGTTTAAGGGGAGCCCTTGGAACAGATCAACACATACTGTACATGTCCACCTATAGTTATAAACGCGGCCTGCTACTGAGAGCCACGAGCAGCAGGTCAGTCAGCCTGAAGCTTTAGCTAGATTACAGCTCGTTACCAGCTTCCAGCCTTTTATCTTCCTCACACTTATTTCCGTGTTTTAGAGTAGATGGTGAGTGAGACCCGTTTTAAATATCAACCATCCAGAGTGTGAAGATGACGGCCAGAAGGAACAACAGGTGGGCCGAGAGCAGATCAGAGAGCTGCACGTGTTAAGTGCTTTTGTGGTGCTGCCAGAAGCCTACAAGAGCTGCAAGAACACACTCAAGTTCATCTTTCTCTTGGGATTAGAAATCCCAGAGGTTTTTCCTGAAACAGGTGTGCTTTTAAAGGAGCTAATCAGCTTTCTTTTTTAATCAGAAATATTTTTTAATGTTTTTTTTCTTAAATAAAGATAGCGTATACGTGATCTTAAAGAAACGCTATGCAACTTTTTCATATTTTTAAATCATTTTGATGAGCCAGTTTGTGCTAAAACGACCCTTTACAGGGTTAATGAAAGGCCACCCAGCACCTATTGCCCCTGTGGCCAGAATATTGCCACATCAGAGTGTCTGTTGGAAATGGAGCTGACATACCTGGAGCTGCAGTCTAGTTCCAGCACGTTTCCTGCATGTTTTAGATCATGAATACAACTGATTTGTTTTTATTTTAGTGATTAATCACTCCTGTAGACACTGAGGAAGGCTGGAGAGACGTTTCAGCTGTCAGATTGAGGTGTTAAAATACGCATGCACAGCAAGGAGATAAGTTTAGCTTTTAGTTCTACATACAGACACTAGGGGGTGCTAAAAGCAAGCCTAAATTGCCTAGTCTGCCTTTTAATGACATGGGCATCAAAAATTCTAATTTTGTCATTTTACAGAGAAAAAAAAACAAAACGCTGTTTTACGTTACCATGTTGGTCATAATATAAATGCAGTTAACCCAAATACCTAATGAACTACCAGGCAACTATCGGAAAATAATAAATATAATAATAATAATAATAATAATAATAATAATAATAATAATAAATTAAAAAGTGAGAGAAAGAGAAAAACATCAGTTTTCTACACAAAGTTCAATCAGATGATGTGTTCTAATGGCTGAAAATGTGACTTACAGTGGGGCAAAAAAGTATTTAGTCAGCCAACGATTGTGCAAGTTCTCCCACTTAAAATGATGACAGAGGTCAGTAATTTTCATCATAGGTACACTTCAACTGTGAGAGACAGAATGTGAAAAAAAATCCATGAATTCACATGGCAGGATTTTTAAAGAATTTATTTGTAAATCAGGGTGTAAAATAAGTATTTGGTCAATAACAAAAATTCAACTCAATACTTTGTAACATAACCTTTGTTGGCAATAACAGAGGTCAAACGATTACTATAGGTCTTTACCAGGTTTGCACACACAGTAGCTGGTATTTTGGCCCATTCCTCCATGCAGATCTTCTCGAGAGCATTGATGTTTTGGGGCTGTCGCCGAGCAACACGGACTTTCAACTCCCTCCACAGATTTTATATGGGGCTGAGGTCTGGAGACTGGCTAGGCCACTCCAGGACTTTCAAATGCTTCTTACGGAGCCACTCCTTTGTTGCCCGGGCGGTGTGTTTGGGATCATTGTCGTGTTGGAAGACCCAGCCACTTTTCATCTTCAAAGCTCTCACTGAAGGAAGGAGGTTTTGGCTCAGAATCTCACAATACATGGCCCCATTCATTCTGTCCTTAACACGGATCAGTCGTCCTGTCTCCTTAGCAGAAAAACAGCCCCAAAGCATGATGTTCCCACCCCCATGCTTCACAGTAGGTATGGTGTTCTTGGGATGCAACTCAGTATTCTTCTTCCTCCAAACACGACGAGTTGAGTTTATACCAAAAAGTTCTACTTTGGTTTCATCTGACCACATGACATTCTCCCAATCCTCTGCTGTATCATCCATGTGCTCTCTGGCAAACTTCAGACGGGCCTGGACATTCACTGGCTTCAGCAGCGGAACACGTCTGGCACTGCAGGATTTGATTCCCTGCCGTTGTAGTGTGTTACTGATGGTGACCTTTGTTACTGTGGTCCCAGCTCTCTGCAGGTCATTCACCAGGTCCCCCCGTGTGGTTCTGGGATTCTTGCTCACTGTTCTCATGATCATTTTGACCCCACGGGATGAGATCTTGCGTGGAGCCCCAGATCGAGGGAGATTATCAGTGGTCTTGTATGTCTTCCATTTTCTGATAATTGCTCCCACAGTTGATTTTTTCACACCAAGCTGCTTGCCTATTGTAGATTCACTCTTCCCAGTCTGGTGCAGGTCTACAATTCTTTTCCTGGTGTCCCTCGAAAGCTCTTTGGTCTTGGCCATAGTGGAGTTTGGAGTCTGACTGTTTGAGGCTGTGGACAGGTGTCTTTTATACAGATAATGTGTTCAAACAGGTGCCATTAATACAGGTAACGAGTGGAGGACAGAAAAGCTTCTTAAAGAGATTTTCCTTGTTTGAAGTGACCAAATCCTTCTTTTCCACCCTGATTTACAAATAAATCTTTAAAAATCCTGCCATGTGAATTCATGGATTTTTTTTCACATTGTCTCTCACAGTTGAAGTGTACCTATGATGTAAATTACTGACCTCTGTCATCATTTTAAGTGGGAGAACTTGCACAATCGGTGGCTGACTAAGTACTTTTATGTGCCACTGTATACTTATAGGTCAGTCTATAGGTTAGTCTATAGCAAGGCTATTCACATTTAGGCCTCAAGGGTCGGTATCCAGCACGTTTAGTGGTTTCTCAGGTCCAACACACTAGATTCAGTGGTTGATTCACCTGTGCAGCAGCTCATCAGGCTCTGCAGACACCTGTTAATCACCAACTGATTGAAATCAGGTGTGTTGAAACAGACTTGAAACTAAAATGTGCTGGATACAGGCCCTCGAGACCCGGAATTGAATAGCCCTGGTCTATAGGTTAGTCTATAGGTTCGTGTAAACACCGATAATAAGGGGTTTGTTTGCTTTTGTGAGCCTTGCTGGTGCTTGTAAGAGGGTTAAGAAATGTTAGGTTTCATGTCAAAATCAAAACTTTGACCGTTCTTTTTTTTTTTTTTTTTTTTGTTTAAACAATGAAAAGATGCAAATTATACGATCCAAAATAGCCAGTGTGAGCACAATAAACATGGCTGTGCAAGTTTTGTCAGGCACCTGCAGGAAACAAATAGAAAGAAAAAGCTATTTTATTTCTCCTTTTAATTTAAAGATTTGCTTTAATTGATTAACAAAAACATATTTATCAGTTTTTAAGTCTTAAGGGCATAATAATGACTCGGAAAGTCTGACTTTTGAGTATCAGTATTGTATTTATAAGATTCATAGTCTTCATTTTGAGATTAAAAGTCAAATTTATAATTTTTAAGAAAGAAAATTTGAGATTTCATGTAATAAAGAACAGAAATAAATATAAGTTCCAATAACTGAGAAAAAGAGACAAATTCATGACTTTTAAAGTTCTAGTGTTGAGCTGTTAAAGTCATAAATATCAGACATGACTTCAGAATGATCATTTTTAGGATGGAGATTCATTTTGAAAGCATTAGTTACAATATTCAAAGTGTCAGTGCGAGACTGGTGGGTAAACATTTTCAGATTATTAGTTTTGAAGTCAAAAATACATTCTTGGCGCTTTGATCCTAATTTTAACTAACGAGCAGTTTCATGACCTGGGGTCAGTTTCCATAAGAAGTTGCACAAGGTTCTACCAGGGCAGTATTTATCACGTGTTGCAACCGGGATTCATTCAGAATTATTCAAGAGTTAGAACAACGAGTTCAGCTCGGGTTGTTTTAACTCTGTCCTGTCTGTTCCTCTGCAGGAGGACCACTCCCATGCTAAGAACACTTCTGAGAACATACCTCCCCCCCCCAGTGTTTTTCTTGACCCCTTCTTCATGGTGGAGACCGTGTGCATATGCTGGTTCTCCTTTGAGCTCATCATGCGCCTCGCCTGCTGTCCCAGCAAGACCCAGTTCTTCAAAGATGTCATGAACATCATCGACTTCAGCGCCATCCTGCCGTATTTCGTCACTATTGGAACTGAGTTGGCCAAAGACGACGACGCCTCTCCAGCCACGTCCTTGGCTATCATAAGAGTCATTAGACTGGTGAGGGTCTTCAGGATCTTCAAGCTGTCCCGACACTCAAAGGGCCTCCAGATCCTCGGTCAGACGCTGAAGGCCAGCATGCGTGAGCTCGGCCTCCTCATCTTCTTCCTCTTCATCGGGATCATCCTCTTCTCCAGTGCTGTCTACTTCGCAGAAGCCGACCACCACTCCACGGATTTTGTCAGCATACCACATGGCTTCTGGTGGGCGGTCGTTACCATGACGACAGTTGGGTACGGTGACATGCACCCTGTGACGGTGTGGGGTAAACTGGTGGGCTCGATGTGCGCCATCGCTGGCGTTCTGACCATCTCGCTGCCCGTGCCCGTCATCGTGTCCAACTTCAGCTACTTCTACCATCGAGAGAACGAGTGTGAGGATCGGACCGTGTACACTCACGTTCAGACTGCCTTGTGGGAGGAGGAGGAGGAGCCAGGGGAAGAGGAAGCAGAGGATGAGGACCGTGATGCTGAGGCGGAATATTATGCTGTTGAAGCAATGTGCAACCCTCTGAACGGGACTTTACTGGGCGGACTGTGTAGCGACCAGACGGAGGAAAACACGGGAGGAAATGCTTATCTCAGGGAGCCACTGGTCACTCAGGTTTAGGGGAGTGGAGTGGGTTGTGTACATTTTAAGAAAGTGAATAATAGACAAGATTTTACCTTTTCTTACTCTGAGCGTCCTCTCCTGACTCTTTTGTTGCTGCACTAGCCAGATATAGTCGCAGCTTTTTATTTATATTTGTCCTCAGGGTCCTGATCTAGAAAGGAATGCTTCCAGACTGAGACAATAAAAGACTAGGGGAGTCTGTGCCATGAAACTATGATGTCTTAGTTTATTTTTGCCTTTCAGTTTGAATTGCAAGTCAGAACTCATTCAAACACCAGCATTGTTTAAATGATTATTTATTTATTATGTCATTTAACATTATTTAGGGCATGTTTAGGTTGTTTTCATTTTCACGCACGTTAGAATAAAATCTATTTTTTTGTTTATCAGTTCACAGCTTCTCTTACCCATCTCGTGTCTTTGTTTAAAATTTGCAGCCTTATTTTGTTTTGAAACTATCTGAACCATTTTAAAGACCCACATGGTTTTTATAGACAGTCAGCTTCCAGTAACGTTGCTCTCAATTGTTCTCAAACTCATAAACTTTCCACTCCATCATCGTTGGGACCTGTGGAAGGTATGCAGACGGATGCTTGGAGTGCTCCAGTGATGTGCTTTAGTCTGTCAGGTTAACAGTCAGCAACGTCTCAACAGTAAATAAAAAAATAAAAAGCATTTTTGTGGGATAAAATCCAGGTCTCTCCATCCGAGAACAGATCATCTGTGCAGGACTGAAGAACGCCAGTTATTCATACACAAACTTACAAAAAGCTTTTAACATTTTTTATGTGAAACAGGAAGTGCCATTTGAGTTGAAAACTGTGACAAGGCAGAAATAAATTTTGTTTTTATAGGTGAATTTTTTATACTGAACTTCCAGTCCAGTTTGAGTTGCGTGTAATTGCTAAAAACAAGAAATATTTATAGGATTTCAGCTCCTTTTTCCATGAGAGCACCTTCCAGCTCGACCCTTTAGGGCAGCAGCTCTGATCCAGGTGGCTCAGAGTTGTATGACCTAGAATTTATTATCACATTTACCTAAAAAAGCTTTAATGTCTAAATCCTGAAACTTAAAATGTTGCCAAAAAGAAGAATTTGTCAAAATACAAATGCATTCATGTCATGGTCATTTTATAACTTGTATTCTGTTGCTGTGATGCTAACTTGTGCCTTATTTGGGGACAAATAAAGTTTTTTGAATCTGAATTGTAAGCACCAGCTCACCCACGACCCTTTTGAGGATGAAGTGGTTACAAATAGATGCACTGAACATCAGGAATTGACGAATGCAAAGAAAACTAAACTTTACTTTAAAAGAAACTAAAACATCTGAAACCTGCTGATTGATTTGTGTCCTGTCCACTAGAGGGCACTCTTACTCACACTGACCAGCTGTAGGTGAGCCATCAGGTGTTCTATTCTTCTCACACGGACATTTCTGATTTGTCTCATTGTTGTGTTGCATTACTTTATCATTGCAAAATTAACCAAGGCTCCCAAAAATAAATATTTGGATTAAGTTTATTTTAATTCAGAATTTTCTGCAGTCTGAAGAAAAACACTTGAGTTGTGTAAACACAGGCTCTTGGGATTTTCCAGGAACATCTGGTTTACACTGGGACCTGACCAGTTTATTATTATAATGATATATTTCATTTCATTTTAAAAATCCATTTCTTGAGCTCCTGTTAAAAAATAGACTATCAGTTATAAATATCTGAACTAAAAAAAGAAGAGTTAAAATTCCACCTTCAAGTGTGCTATTAGTGTAGGAAACCATGCTTTTGAAGGTCAGTCAGTGGGTTTAGATGTTTGTGTCATCATCATTTTTGTGCTCAGTCCTTCCCTCTTAATGCTAAAACTGTTCCATCTCTGAACTTATTGTTATATGGAACAGCTTTAAAGAATTCAGACTGTCATCACCAAATTTGGTCTGTGTTTTATTTATTTATTTATTTATTTATTTATCTATTGACAGATATTTGCATAAGTCTTTAAACCTCCAGCCTGAACTCGGCCATGCAGTTTTTGCTAATGTTTCGATTACGAACAAATGACAAGGCAAGCTGGACTGAGCTCACACGCTGATGCACTGAAACGGTGCAATGAAGTGTGTGTTTGCAATAATCAAATAAACATTTCACCATGGACACTTTGACAGCTACCACGTGTTTGATGCATAGTAAGCACTGTTGAGCCCTGTTAGACTTTCTGTTTATTTTCAAATCTGTTTAGTTTTTTTCTTAATGAAACACTGATTTTAAACAATCTCATGTCAGAAAGCTGCACAAAAGACAATACCCCCATTTTATTTTTGCCTCAGGGAAATTTGTCTCTATGTTTTCAATTCAGTGTATTTATCGTAGAAAAACACTTTTTTGTTAAGACATAATTTTTTATTTAAAAAAAATCAGTGTACATTATGATTTACCATTCAAAGTTTGGAGTGTGATTTTGCTTCAGTAGGTATTCCGTAGGGATGTGTATTGGTGAAATTATGGAGATACGATACGTATCACGATACAGGGGAGACAATACATTATATCAGTATATATCGCAATACATTCAGTCAGACAATATTAGCGATTATTTGGACTGATTTTATTATAGGGAAATTCTTTAAATAATCCATACTGACACTTAACATGTTTAACATGAGGTATCTGAACCATAATAGAGGGATTTACATTTCAATGGTGGAAACAAAATCCATTGCACACTGCTGCCAACTAGTGGTCGGTGTTTGAATTGCACTAAACAAAAAGAAAATACACAATGTTTGCATGTAAATTCTTTCCAATATTAGATACACGGCTTTTGAATATCAATATCATATCACAGGAAAAATATCACGGTATATTGCCATATCAGTATTTTCTTACATCCCTAATATTCTGATTTATAAACATTATTATTATTATTATTATTATTATTATTATTATTAATTCAGTTTGTTAATAAATGTTATTAAAAACACATGCTGAATATATGTTTTAAGATTCAAACAACACAAATAAGTCATTTATCAAAAAGGGTTTATTCAAGTTCTAATTTTAAAATAAACCATTTTCCTCTTACTGATTTCAGTTAAAACAATATTTTAGTTTTTACAGTGTATCAAACTAACCACCAGTGCCAAATAACTCCTGCAACATCATCCAGTTTTATACAGACACAATAAATATCTTACTTTACCAAGCAAAACCAAAATGTCTTAATATTTAAATAAATCTTAAATAAGAAACACTCAGAACACCAATAAATAAATAACTTACACCACAAAACATGTTGAGAATAAAAAAAGACTAGATGCTAACTAAATAAATTTAAAGTGACAATTAGTTGAAACATCCGATCAAATTCACATTTTACTTTTCCATTAACAGCTGAGGACTGACGACGGTGTTCAGTCCCATCCCAAAAAGGTCGTCTGACTCCACGTTGATGCCCCTCTGATGATTTACTGGATCCTCAGAGATCCCCTCCACTGGTAACATATTCCTGAGAGGGAGAAATCGAGTGAAAGGCACCGAGTGTTGATCCTTGGAATTTCTGGACGCCAGAGAGATGGGAATCCCATGATGCGAGTTCAGGAATCGGGTGTATCCATCAGCTAGCAGGAGCTCTCTGAAGGAGCAGTCAGCCTCCTCATACACGCTCTGAAACCGTCAGACATTTATCAGAAATCGCACAAAGAGCTAAAACCTCTGACATCTCTTTGTGTCTCACCTGTCCTCTGAGATGTCCTCCACTGTCCATGCAGAGAAACAAAGACGACGACTGTCCCTTAATGACAGCATGACCTGGTTTCACTGATTTCAGCTGCAGCACACCTGGAAACAGAAACACGTTCAGATTTTCAGGCTTCAAGAACCAACTCTGCTCTTAGTTCCTGGTTCTACTCACTAAAAGCAGTCTGGGCATCACTTCCACTCACTCTCCCATCCAGGTTTATCTGCAGGAACATCCCACGTCTGTGGTTTTCTGCAGCAACCATCAAGCACAAAAAGAAATGCAACAACTTTACAGGTTGCATCAGAATCATCATCATTCAGCTTTGCATATATTAAATAAAACACACAAAAGTCAGAAAAACCAACACATACCTGTAAAGAGATGCACCTCTCTGACCTGACTGTTAAACGACAGCAGTGGATTGGATTCAGGAACATAAAACGAAAGTGAAAAGGGAAGTGGAAGGATTAGGAAAAGGGAGAAAGAGAGACAAAACTGAGTATTCGGGAACAAAAGCATTTTGTAAAGGAAATGACAGGAAATAAATAATAAATAGAAATATTTGATAAATACAAATAAATAGACCACAAAAGTGAAAAAAATAAAAAAGTCGCAGCTGTTTGAGCGACTTCTGAAGAGGAGGAAGTCCGGTGCCTTTATAGAGGAGTTTGGAGAAGGAGGTCCAACTTCATGATGGTAAGAATGAGTCAGACACCTCGACATGCATGCTCAGAGGAAGACGTTTTCTCACTCTGGTTACATAAAAATCATGTTAAGTAACACAACAAATGTTTATCTTTACATCTAACTTGATTTCTTTGACTAAATACTTGAATCAAAGCCAAATATTTCACTTTCCAGAAGAAGAATCACATCCATGACATTCCAACAAGCACAAGTGCTTTCAAAAAAAAGATTTTACGACTATCTGTAAAAAATCTTCATCACGTGAAGCACTTACTGTTACCGCGGGCGACTTCCAGAGCAGTGATTGAACGTGCAACACAAGCACATCAATCTCAGTCATCTAAAACACAAAATTTCAAATCATTTTCCAGGAAGTGATGCTCTGTGTTTTGGGACTTTATGGTGTTTATCTTATTTGACGTGTGACTGTTTGCGAGAGGAGAAGAAAGGAAGGAGTGGGTGAAACTGATTTATAAGGCAGAGAGTGTGTTTACATGACTGCAGCTGTGCAGGTCGTACACGTCACACAGGAAACTCACCGCTGCCTAAAGTCCAGCAGCAACACGCTGAGAGGTTGCATCACCAGCTTCACCACGCTGAGTGGACCACAACAAGCTTTTTCAGTGATTTTAGATCAAAAACACCCACTGATGTGGTGTTACAGGTGAAACTGGAAACAATATGCTGAAGTCCATTTAGGTCAGTAATCCAGCTTAGACTGAGAGACCATCGAAAGGCTCAGGAACCCTTTGCAGGTGTTCTGGATTCATTAGCTGATTAGAGTGTGACACCCTCTCACTAGCAGGAGAGTAGCTGACCAGTGACCCCAGCTGGAGTGGGAAATCCTGTGAAATCCTGATGAAAGTGATAGAGGATCCCACTCATCCTCAGGGTTCTGCGTGTAGTAGCTTCCATTCCATCCATTTTCCCCTCTTTTCCATGGTCGGGAGGTGAAAGGGTTCACATCCCTTTCCTCATTAACTCTTTACCTCAGTGGCATTCCCAAATCAAAGAGGACATACAATCCCTTCATGAGGGTTCAGTCTGTTCTAAGGGCTTGTTCCAGTAGGACATGCCTGGAAAATTAACCACCTCAGCTGTATGCATTTGATGACACGTTCTCACACCCAAAGCATTGAAGAATGGCGCTGGGTGACCAAGCATTTGTTTCCGACGCATCGGGAGGTGACGCGCTGCGCCAGAGCATTGGTTTCCGACACCCGCGGTAAAACACACATTTCACCGACATTGAACCTCTAACCTCTTGCTATTGACCCTTTGCACGTGATGTCACGCCACTCATGTGACCGCCCCCTTCGCCATGATGGACGGCAAAAAGACCGTTGACACCTGTTGAAACTCCAGTGAAACTAGTCAAAACAAGCCAGTTTGTAGCCTTTTATTGCTTTTATTTAGTTGATTTGACAGTAAAATGGTTTTAGCTTGCTGCGTGGTCGGCTGCACTAACAGACAAGGATGTAAACCCAACGCGTTTTATTTTTTTTCAATAACTTTGATGGAGACTGAGGACGGAGATGAACTGCAGCGATCAATCAATCAAGCGGACTAGCAGCTCTCAGATTAGCAGCGAACTTGTTTTTACCGGACAAGATTGACGTTCATTTATTTCACGAGGAAGACAGGGACAGGGATAAATACGATGTGTTTGTACTAGTTACTGATAATCCTGATGGATGGGTATTTCACCACGGAGGCTGCGCTCCGTCCACTGTAGTGTAAAGCGAGACAATTGTTAACAATATTAAAGCTCCGATGTACGATTATGTGTGTTAAAATTATATTATTTATTTATATGAGTGTCGGCGTTCAGAGATCTTCTCATTCCGGTGTGAGAGCAGCAGCTGAACCCGGTAACACCACCAGCAACAGACGCTGGTAGGGATCCGGACTTTTTAAAAATCAGCTTTGGTGTAAAGTGAAACGCTGTTTATAACATAAAGTAAAAAAAAATCCAGAGGGGTGAATTTAGGCAAAGTTAGCAACATGTTTACATCGGTGAACAGCTGCAGAGAGAACGTAAGCTAACGTTGGTAAGCTAGTTAACATACCGCTCTCTGTGAGCCCCCGCTAGAGGTGCTACTTCTTCTGATAACTGAACTGGGCATGAACTAGTTGAAGGAATGCTGGAGGAGTTTTGTTTTTGTTTTGATCGTAAAAACAATTTCAGGCTCTACTTTTCCCTTTGTTTAGTAATCGTGTCGCTCACTGTTTACATGCTTTTGCCATCCACCATGGTGGACCCACGTGATTAGGTGACGTCGGTGTTAAGGGTCAATTTCACCGTCCCCTCACCCACATCCTAACCTTAATCCAGTTTCTCATCCTAAACTTCCTGTTAACCATGTTAAAGAGGGAAGTTACAACTAGTAACAAAGTTTTAAATGCACAAGAGGGTTAAGGTCAGGATGGAGATGAGGGGAAGGTAAAATAGCAAGAGGGCAAAGGTCAACATTCGGTGAAATCTCCGTTTTGCAGCGGCAGTCGGAAAACGATGCTCTGGCACGGAGCATCGCCACCCGACGCTCTGGTCACTCCTGGTCGTTTTTTGATGCTTCGGGTGTGCGAACATGTTGGATGAGGAGGAGCAGTGGCTCCTCTCAGATCATGACAGCAACAGTTCATGAAGCGCATTTGTAGTCCTTGACTTATTTTCACACAAAACCTAAAATAGCATTTCCCCCGTTCAAAAATAAGTGTGTTCTTCCTACCAAAATGTGCCTTTAAAAATCCTGAACGTCATATGTGAAATCCATGGCACATAACAAACGGGATTAGAAAACTGCCTTTTTAGCCCCATTGACTGCATTCATTTTTGCGTTCTTCCGGGCACCCGTGGTCCAGAAGTAGATGGGCATCACTTAGACCCCTTAATGACAGATATGTTTCCCTTCAGGTTTCTCTGTCCTCTGTGTTGCCAAGCAGGACTACCGCGGGCGTAGCACTTTTCTATCCCCTTTTCCATACTTTTTTAAAATAAAACACAAAATCATGATCGTTTTGTTACAGATGTACATAAAACCCCACACGAACATTTGGGATGGATTAGAAAACCTGCTTTTGCTTGTTTCTTGGTTTTGGAATTTTGACTGTTTCCAAATGTAAACAGAAAGGCATTCACAATCAACAAAACACATTTTGTCTATGTAGAAATCCCAAAACTCCAGGATGGCTTCAACTCAATGTTTATCCAAAAATCTGTTTCACATTGTTCTATCGCCCCAAAATATTCGCCCTTTAAAGCCAACTGGACAACACGTTTCATTAAGAAGTTTCATCCTTTACGCTACTTGTAAGGAAATTAATTATTAAATTGTATATTTAAACTCTTTTTGTGGGGAGATTGTATGATCCTAAGTGAGATACTGAACATCCTGAGGTGTTTCTGTGTAAAAGTTACAAATAATGAATTATTTTCTTATCTGTTGTAGAATGCTTCTGGAACAGCACATGTTTGGAGAAATAGTTATAATTTGAGTGCCGCCAAGATTGAGCGGGAGTGTTACTACCCCAAAAAATCAATCCAATCTTCACAGTTTCACAGTTTCGTACTGTGTAGGACTAAGTACGTGACAAATAAAATTAGAATTAGAATTTGGTTTGTGTTATTTTTTTAAATAATTTTTACATAACCATCAGTTTCACATTAGATTACTATTGGCAGAAACAACGTTATTGTTTAATTTTTAAATAACTGGATACATGTCATGCCCTCTGTCAGTGCGCCCCAGAGCAGCTATGGCTACATTGTAGCTCATCCCCATCAGTGTATGAATGTGTGTGTGTGAATGACTCATTTATTTTCCCTGGCTTTTAACTAATTTAACTTCAGATGTCTCTGTTTGGAGTGGTTTTATTCCATGGTCTTTAGTAATTTTATACTGTTTCTCTATTGATCTCTCTGTGTGCTTTGTTTTAAATCTCCATTATATATTTGTTTTAGGTAGGCCTTGATAAATGACTTCCACTTGTAGAGTGCCTTCTAGAGTCAGAGGACTCTACAGTTATCATTCATCCATTCACACACACGTTCACATGCTGTTGGTGATGAGCTACATTGTAGCCAGGGCTGCCCTGGGATGCACTGATAGAGGCGAGGCTGCCGAGCACAGGTGCTACTGGGACCTCCAACCACCACCAGCTAGCGGGGAGGGTTAAGTGTTTTGCCCAAGGACACAACGGCAGAATTTGCTGTTGGGAGCCAGGATCAAACCTGCAACTTTCTGATTACTGGGCGACCCACTCTGCCTCCTGAGCTTCTGCTGCTGAGTTAACTGCATTGTTGTTGTTGTTTTATTGCCTCTGTACAGCACTTTGGTCTTATGCCGTGTAAAGTGCTTAATACATAAACTGGAAGTGGAACAGCAATACTTAGCATCAATGGGACAAAAATGAAGTAGATGGTGGAGCTTACACCCTTCCCCCCATCACTGGAGAAGAAGCTGTAGATCTAGTGAAATCAGATGAGTATCGGGGGGCTCACTAACCAGTCTGTAGACAGGCTCACAGGTGGCTTTTTATTACCAGGATGCTAAAAAATGTGTTTTACTGGAGTGTGATGAACAGAATCCTGACATGAGTATTGCCCTAACCCATTCAGACTAGGAACTATTCACCCTCTTTTCCTCAGGCAGCATTTAAAGTCTGGTTCACGCAGAATGCAGAATGGATGCGGTCCGAACTCCGTACAGCATCCGCAGCAACCAAAAACCATTGAGTCTAATCAGAACATTCACACGAGCTAAGGCAGGGGTGGGCAACTCCAGTCCTCGAGGGTCGGTATCCTCCATCTTTTTGTTATTTCCCAGTTCCAACACAGTTGATTCAGCAGCTCATCAAGCTGCAGAAGCCAGCTAATCTCCTGCTGATTGAAATCAGGTGTGTTGAAACAGGGAAAACAGTAAAACATGTGGGATAGTGACCCTCGAGGACCAGGATTGCCCGCCCCTGAGCTAAGGTGAAGTGCAGATCCATATGCTGAGCTCCAGAAAGGTTTCACATTTTCCAGCTGCTACACGCAGATCGCCATGAAGTGAAAGGAACAGCATGAGCCAGACAGGAAGTGAGATGTGGAACAGTAAGGTGCATGCGATATATTTCAAAGTAAAACTTGTGTTGCATTGTTTTTTCTCGCTTTAGTTTTTTATTAATGACTGGGATATCTGCTCATGTTATTTTATGTGTCAAATTTCTGATCATTTGGTCTCGTGGGAGTCAATTTCTGGAGACATTCAACACACAAACTGCAGTCGATATGAATGGCAGTCCATCTGGAGGCCGCCTGGAACCCTGAACGCATTCTTCCGTACGCTGTGCGAGCAGGTGGTAAACCTGGACGACAGGGCTGGAGGAAAAACAGAGAAAACTCTGAGGAGATTGAACGCTGGCCCTTCTGCTATGACTCTTGATGTTTATCAATGGAATTTGTAATATTATTCTTCATCCAGGAACTTGTTTTGTTCTTCCACCTTCTCTTTTGTACGTTTTATTCGTGATCCATTTCTCGTTCTTTTCTTACACCAGCGATCTCTGATGAGGGCTAGAGATTCTAGCTGAAACATGTCAGGTAAATGACCAAAGAATGGGTTTCATGCCCTTATTTACAGCTCAGTCCCCCCCTCCCGTTGGGGTTCAGTCAAATCAAGCCTCGTTTCACTCCAAAACTTTAAATTACTCCTCCTCTACAACCATCACAGGTATGATACTTTTAATTACAGCTTTTACAATCATCATTACTGTTATCATATTGTATTCAAATATCATCACTGCTCTCTGATAATATGAATTAAAATCATAACACAGTTTGGATTTTTTTTATGTATTTTTTTGCTCAAAATGTACACACACAGTTAACATCTTAGATGTCTATAAATTAAAACACATTTCCTTTAATCAACCTTAAATAAAATTACAGTCAGTCTTAAAGCTAAGTATGAAATGAACATATGCTTTCACACACACACACACACACACACACACACACACACACACACACACACACACACACACACACACACACACACACACACACACACACACACACACACACACACACACACACACACACACACACACACACACACACACATGCTGTACTGTACATACAGAGCAGTTATCATACAAATGATAAAAATAAAATACACACATTGTACAAAGTCCTGACCCGAGCTTTCACATCTTTAGATGATTGATATCAAGACGTTCACTCTAAAATGGTTTTTGGCATGCATAACAACACAAATGCTCCCTAACTAAACTCTTTCCCCCCTTTTCCTCCACTTTGAGCAGGAATAAAGCACTTTGCCATCTGCGTTGTCATTGGTCCTATTCACATGTGTGCATCTCAGCTCTGTTATGGCTTCAAATACAAACATTTCTCCTCGAGGGCGCCAACATTCTCCAGGTAAACTTCCATATCAGCAGATGTCTTTACAGAGTTTTAGAGATTTTCTTTTTTCCATTAGATGAACTGGGAATATTTGTACAATGGTCTTGATCAGAATGAGAATGCAACTGTATTTAAAGATGATAAATTGTCAGTATTGCCATCTTAGACTCTGAAACAGAAGATGAATTCACAACATGGTCACTTTCTACAGAGTCAAACAGCATCATGCCACAACTATGGATCAAGATGGAGAGAGAGAGAGAGAGAGAGAGAGAGAGAGAGAGAGAGAGAGAGAGAGAGAGAGAGAGAGAGAGAGAAACTGATATGTAAACAGACATTCACTCATTTTATCTGTTTTTTTTTTCAAAAATCAGTCACTCAGTGCCTTTGATTATTTTGAGACTCAAACGCTCTTCTAGTGCTCGTATTTGCTTTTCTTCAAAGATGTTTTTCTTTTCTTCAGGATGGGGTAGAGATGCAGTTCTACAGAAATAAAGACAAACACAGATGAAGTACAGTTTATTGGACAGTTATTGATGCTGCTTCTCCAGAACGAGGATCTTTGTCCCACCTGATGTGCTTATCTTTAGCAGGAATATGTTCTCACCGAACCAGACTCTCCTCTTGGACCAGAGTTTGCTGACAGAGGGAAAAAAGAGAGTTAGCAAACACAACTTAACGTCTAAATATGAGATAAATAACTGCATTTAATCAGGGGAGAAACTACAGGACATTTATATCTCTGCCTGCAGTCTCTGAGTTTCTTCATAAAGCTACAGCCACAATCCGGTTTGCTTCGATAGATTAAAACTAGAATTTGAAGACAGTTAAATCAACTTCAGACACAAAACTAAATTTTATTTTCCCAACAAGGCTTTTTTTTCTTTTTAGATGCAGCTGTTTATTTGGCTTCATGAATAAATTACCTGTATTTGTTTAGTGTCTTCTTAGGGTTCTACAACCCCCCAAGACGCTTTACAACACAATCAGTCATTCATCCATTCACCCACACATTCACACGCTGGTGGGGATGAGCTAGAGCCATAGCTGCTCTGGGACGCACTGACAGAGGCGAGGCTGCCGAACACAGGCGCCACCGGTCCCTCCGACCACCACCAGCAGGCAAGGTGGGTTAAGTGTCTTGCCCAAGGACACAACGACAGACAGAGGGGGGCTTGAACCTGCAACCTTCCAATTATGGGGCGAGCATTAGCTCCGGTGCTACCATCGCCACATTATGTTACAAAGCCGTCAATATTTTTCAACAATTGGGCCATTTGAATCATTTTCAACAACATTTCGATGGATATTCCATCCAGTCGACATCGATTCGATATTTCCAGAGATTAATAGTAAAAACTACACGTTGTCTCTTTAAGAGCAAAAACATTGTGAATAAAAAACAAATGTATTGTACCTTACAAAGTGACAAATAAAAGCTTTTTTCATTTATAACATAATGAAATCTTTAAGACAGCAGGGACAGTAAAGCATAAGAAAAGACCTGCCAGTGTTTGAGGTGATAAATAGCCGAATGTCTCTGTCGCAGTTTAATCAAAAGCTTCATCTCCTTACCTTCCCTCTGGACTTTTCTCAGAGTGACCGAGGGGGTCGAGATGGCCGAGGCACGGAAGTTGGCAGGTAATGTTTCTGAGGAGTCTGAGGTCACACCGCGGAGGTCTTTCTCTCTAAACATCTTTCTCCACGACGGTGACCGCGTGAATGTTTTTGTGCCATCCTGCGGAGGAAATAAAATGATGCCAGGCCAGTGTTAATAAACTAGTATTAGATGAAGCAATAGCACACACAGCTTAGTTATATGTGCAGTAACTGAGCAATTAACAGCCATGTAAACACAGCTGAAACCACCAAGAGTTTCTCAGCAGCTATAAATGCACTTTTATGCCAAAAAGAAAGAAAAATAAAACATTTTTTTTTCATATTTCTGGAAGATTATGAGTCTGTGAGGAATCTGATAAATATGTAATCAAAGCTTTGCTGTCTTGCAAAACGGCCTTAGTCACGCTGGTTCTATTTTCAATTATCTGGACTGTTTTTATACCTCATCAGGCCTCCTTTCTGTTCCCATGGAGATTAGAGCATTATACTCTTTCTCCAGGAGCTGCCTTGCCTACAAAAGACAAACTGGAGTCAGACAGAGCAGAGACAAGAGGCTACATATCACCAGTGATTGTCCTGAATACCTGTGTGTTCTGGTTTGGTATCTGGAGAAGGAGGGCCAGGTCAGTATAGTCAAACGTGTCATCCAGCGCCAACAGAGCCCCATGGACCCCACTCTCCAGTAAATTGTCTGCAAATTCCTTCAGACCAACAGACTGTACCCAACACATGACTCGCTCATTGGACCAGACCATGACATCTGAGGAGAGGGGCACAATGAGAAGTGGAACCTATATGGCAACATCACGTAGGCAAAAAGAACTCAAAAAGCAACACACGAGAGGAAATGTGTAAAGGAGATTGGTTTTCATAGCACTGTAGACACACAGATGTTAGGATATGGAAACGTTCAGAAAAATCACCACCTTGGTTCTGATGTTGACTCTCCTCCCTCCTCCTCTCTAGCTCTTTCCTGTCGTAGTTCAAGCGCTTCAAGCACATGATGCCATAGTGAAGACTCACCCTGTGAGAGAAAAATCACCAAAAAATAAGTTTCCTGATTTTAAGTAAAGCATCGCCTTGTTGAGGGGCCTGAGGCCAAATCAAAGACAAGAGAAGTGCACCTGTGGAAACTGTCCACCATCTTTAATTGACCCCTCAGCTCCTTCTTGGTGAGGTGATCAAGCATTCGAGCATCCACCAGAGACTCCATGAAATAAGAGCGATACTGAGGCAGACCCAGACTCGGCAGCCACTCGTTTCCCACCCACTCATGGTTCATGTCTCCGTAGGCCAGGATCTGAAGGGAGAGGGGTTGATGAAACTTGGAAGTTTCCAAGAATTCAATTCATTATTTTGTAGCAATAACAAGGCCACCACATTTTTATATTCAACCCAAATTATTTTTCAGAGCACAACATGCCAAAGGTCAAGCCGTTTTAATATGTTGGGCGCCTGTTTTTTCTTAGCTTAGCCGCTGTAGTTCAGTAGTGTCTGACATCGGCAGGTTTTACAAGACATTTTTCACAAGATGTAATTATTTTTTACTTTAATAAATACAAAATGACATCTTGACCTGCTTTCCTCCAACCTCACCTGGTCCCAGCTGAACTCCTTCTGCTCCTTTTGGTTCCGATTCAGAAAATGAAGAGAAATGGGAAAGAGAGAGAGACAAGGAGAGGGAGAGCACCCTCGGGAAATGTGTGTGTGTGTGTGTGTGTGTGTGTGTGTGTGTGTGTGTGTGTGTGTGTGTGTGTGTGTGTGTGTGTGTGTGTGTGTGTGTGTGTGCGTGTGTGTGTGTGTGCGTGTGTGTGTGCATGTGCGTGTGTGTGTTTTAGTGAATCAGTGCCAGAATGAAGAGGAGAGGAGAGGCACAAGGAGGCAAAAGCTTTGTTAGTGAGTGAAACTTAGTTGGAAGAACATCCCGTCAAAACAGATTTTTAGGGAACAGCAAGGAAAAGGTGAAGCCAAACACGCCTAATCAGAGACAAAGAAAAATAAGAAAATCAAGCAAAAAGATAAGAAAAATAATAAAATCAAAATGATAAAGTCATTTGTTTGGATTTTGATCTAAATGTAAAGCTTACTGGTTTGGTGGCAGCAGTGAGAGACTCCATCTCAGCATGGGTCATCCAAATATTACTGGTTGACTGTGAAGACGTAGAACACAACATCAGTCATCTTCCCTGACATGAGAGCAGGACTTGATTTCACCGAACCTTACAGAGCGAGTGCTAGCCGGCGCTGATGGACTCGTGAGAGACACCATTTCCTGGATGGCCAGGCGAAGCTTGAGCCTGTGGAGAGGGTTGCTGATACCGATCTCCCTCTGAATCTCCGTGTCTGACAGGTTGGCCATGATGGCGCCGCTCTTCACGTTGGCACGGCAGGCTGCCACGTACCAGGCAGGCATCCCGACCCACAGCTGGGTAAACACACAGGAGAAAATTGACCCTCCACCACCATGCTATAAGCTGCTACTAGCAATTTGATGTTCACTTTCATTTTATGCTATGCATTATGGGAAAATATGTCTGCATGTCCCACAACATTGTACCAGACATCTTGTGGTTCATTCAGACATTACTTTTTAAGACTTTTGAAAAGGCTTTCTCCTCCATCCATGTAGCCATTATCTTCTGCTTATCCAGGGCCAGGTCATGGGGCAGCAGCCTAAGCCGGGACATCCAGACTTCCCTCTCCCCAGCCACTTGGACCAGTTCCTCCGGGGAAATCTCAAGGCGTTCCCTGTGTCCCTCCAGTTTGTCCTCGGTCTTCCTTCAGGTCTCCTCCCGATTGGACGAACACAGTAAATCTCACCAGGAAGGCTTTCAGGAGGCATCCCAACTAGTCACCAAGTCACCTCAACTGGCTCCTCTCGATGTGAGGGAGCAGCATGTCTACTCTGAGCCCCTCCCGGATGACCAAGCTTCATTCCCTACCTCCAAGGGAGAACCCAGACCCTTCCAGACAAGCCATGTGTTCAGTCTCTTTCTGCTAGGTGTGTCATGAACTTTACCCTTTAACCTACTAACTGAGGCTTAGATGGAGCTCTTAGGCTTTTTTTTTTTTACAGTTTCTCTGGACATCGGACTGTCTGACTCTAGGATAAAGTTTTTGGGATGGGCACTCCTGACAAAATTAGTAGCTCCTTAAATAATTCTGACTGTTAATTATTCACTCTGTAGAATGATGGACTCTAAATTGTTTAGGGATGACCTTTAATCCTTCTCAGGTCATTACTGATGGCTTTGTGTTAACACACACCTGTATGCTCCAGACCAATAATCTGCCAAGACTCCTGACTTTCTAGTGGTGATCAAACTTATGATGATCAGTTAATCAATTAATCTGATCAGCAGCACCTGACCAATATGTTCTTCCTGTCTTAACTCTTGTGGGAGCAGCAGATGTGATCTTCACACATAAAGTTTCTATTTTGTTTTAACTCACATAATAAATGTCTTGATTAATGTGGTGGTCTTACTTCGTCCCCTCTATGACTAGGGGACAGAAACGTGATTAATTACTGAAACTAACTAATGTATCTGAGAATTATCCTTGTTGGGAAGCTGGTTAGCTACTGATTCTTAAATTACATTTTTACAATGAGAGCACAGGGAGTGATGGTATATGCACCTCAAGCCATGTGACAACCGTCGGACCGTCCCAGGAGGCGAAAGGAAGACCCTGACGACAAGCTTCCTCCAGCAGGTCATGCCTGGCAAGGAAAGCAGAAAAAAGAAGTTTGACAAAGATGGATTTCTTTATGTCTCCAATGCCTCCTCTTATAAATAGGAAATAGCTCTGAATATGAGATGTCAAATACCACAAAGGCATTTGTTTGTTTAATCTAATCCCATCAGCGGAATAAAAAGCCCTTGCACAAGTCCGGTTAGAGTCAGCTGACCGTGGTATTTACAAATCTGCCAAAGACCTCTCTATAACAGGAGAAGTGTGTGGAAAGAAGCCTGATCTCACTTCTTCTTGCTGCGACGATCTTTTTCAACAGTCCCAGTCCCGATTTTTGCCAGACCTAATGGGTCAGCTGAGCCAAGGTCATCAGATGGAGTGGAGGCTGTAAAGATAATAAATGGTCACTGTTGATCATTCTTTGATTATTATTGTGCTTGGACTACAGAGAAAGCAATTTCTTTAATTAAGTAGTATCCGATCCGTCCACAAACCCAGTGTGGCGGATTCACGTCCTGGTGCACCAATCCTTCCCTTTTCCTTCTTGCCAAAGAGACGTCCAATCGAGGACTTGATGCTTTTCTTTTTGCTGGCTTTGTGAAGAGAATCCTGGCTAGCGGTGGTGACACCATCAGCAGAAAGACTGAACAAACAGAAAAGGGAAGTAAATCCACATGAGTGGTGGTCAAGACTACTTTTGTAGAAATGTATTCATCTGCGTACCTGCGGAATTCACGATGGTCGTCCAGGCCCGCCCCCGGGTGGGTGTGAGTCATTCGGTCCAACCGTAGGCCTCGAGGGACAGGTGGAGGGGTTGAGTCAATGAGGGCAAGTGCCTTGCATTCTTCTCCCTCTTTGCTGTTCTGTAGGGTGGAGATTTTTCAATCAATGAGCACAACAAGTCACAGTTAGGTGTCTTTAATCGGTGATACCAGATCTGGTTCAGTACTTGTCTCTCAGTCTCCCTGGCGGGTGAATGTGGCAGGCGGGGCGTGGAATGTCCCGAACTGGGTGGGGAAGGAGACGCTAGCGTGGAGGATGTGATGGAGGGAGTCATGTAGCCCCTTCCAACACTGTCTCGCCCTCCCAGTGAGGATGGTGGGAGAGATGAAGCATCCAGGGCTACGCTGCTGACCCGACTCTCGATCTCCTCAGCCCTCAGCTCCGTGCTCTCCTTCTCCTCCTGAATCAACCTGAGGAGCAACACACAGGTGTCTGCACAGCAACTAAACCAACGGCTGACTGGATTAGAGTGTCACTATGATTCTCACTTAATCTCCTTATTAATGGCCTCCAGTTGCTCCTGTAGCATAATGGCCAACGTCTGTACATCTGTCTGCCCACTGGGGGACAGAAGCTCTGATCCAAACAGAGTCTCCCTGTCCTCCTCGTCATCAGAGCAGCCTCCTTCCACACCGCCCTCAAACCCTGGTCCTAGCATGGTGCCGCTGTCCCATTCGCCATACTGAGGAAACGACAAAAACATTGTTTTCCTAACAACAAGCAATACCTACATGTTGCTTCTGAGCAGCGTGGTATCAGTGTGAGATCTGCACCTTGTTGCCATCATCTCTAGGAGGCCCCCAGCGGCCGCGGTGCGCCCGCCTGACCACCACCCCGCTGGAGGTGTTGCCATAGCCGGCTGGGAGTGAGCCACCACCCTGAGGGTAACGCAGCTCTGAGGCGCTCCCTGGGACAGATCTTCGAAAAAGGGTGGAAGGAAGCGAGCTCACGCTGCCCGCCCTATAGTGAGACCCAGAATTCATTTGTCATGGGGACTTAGACTTAGAAAGGACAGAGATTTCTGAGAAGCAGGTTTAAAATCATGCACATCTACAGGGTCCTTTAGGGAGTCATACATTAGGAGTTTTCACATCATTAGAAATCCATAAAAGTTAACGGTGTCTAACCTGGAGTAAGAGGACCCAGGCCTGCCTCTCAGCTGATCCAGTTCCAGTTGGACTCGCTCCAGCTCAGCAAGGAGCTGCTCCTAAAAGGCACGCACCAGAAAACAACAATCAGCTGTTTTTCTCTGGACTTCAAGCATCACAACTGAATCATTCAGACAAAGACAAGGAAAAGAAAATACCTTATTAGCTAGAAGATCGTCCTGGATTTTCTTCATGTTGGCCAGCTCCTCAGAAAGAGCATTCTGGCAGAACAAACAAGTAAAGATTTATGTTTTTATTGTTTTTGTAAAAACTGCTTCACCGCTCAGTAGCTGTCTCCTCACCTTCTCTTCTAGAGCTGCCATCCTCTCTTTGAGGTGGAGCTGAAGCCTCTCGTTGGACTCAGACAGAAGCTTATCCACTGTATCTGAGAGCCGTTTGTTGTGTTCATCATTCATCTTCTCCCTCTGCCTCGCCTGAAACCACACGAGAGCTCGTCAAGAAACAAAATCAGCTCATAGGGTTTGGAGACATCACAGTGGTGTTACCCTCTGAAGCTCTTGGTTCTTCTCTTCTAGTTGGGCTTCCATTTGTCGTAGCCGCTCCTCAAAGTTCCCGTGGCGTTCCTCTGCCTGACAGCAAAGTTGGGGATGTTAAAAGCAGATATTTTTTATGCAAATGATAGGAAAGAAGCATCCTGATTACAGAACCTTGTTGAGAGCAGCCACTCTTTGAGCGAGCTGGGCCTCGATTTCAGGCAATGTCTCTGCTCTCTGCAGGGTTTGCTGGAGCTTCTGCTTGGCCTCATCCAGACGCTCCTGCAGCTGTCTGTTCTTCTCTTCACTCTGAGCATTACAAAAATGGAAGAAAAGGTAAACACATACTTATGAGCTCTGTGGCTAGAAGCAGCCCTCAAGACCCATTTTCATATTTGATTTCTAACTCAGGGTGGATGAGTAGTTTTATTGCAGCCTTAGCTGGGAATTGGGGTATTTGAGGCAAACTTTACTTGTCTGTAGAGGGAATCCTTGCTAGCCAGCTCATTCTCCAGCTTGTCTTTGATGTCGTGGAGAGATGTCGCCTCCCGTTGGGCACTGAGGTACCTGCACGCAAAGTAAAACTTTTAAAATTTGCTAATATTACATTTTGTAATGTACAAGAAAATTGACGTCCAAAAGGAGATGATCAATTGTTCAACACTGTTAATAATGCTTTAAAGTTTTGACCCAAAAGTGCACCCCCCCCCCCCCCCCCCACACACACACACACACACACACACACATGAAGAGCTCAGCATTAGGAGGTCACCAGAACGACTGGAATATATGGGTCTTTGGTTTATATCAGACTGCTGTTCCACAGACATAAGAGCTAGCAAGTAGCAGGTCAGAAAGGATGACCCCTGTTGAGTGTTGTTGTGAACTTGTGATGTAAATTATTGCAGTGGTCTTTTGCAGCAGGATATGCACCCTATGTATTAAAAAGAGTAAGACACAGCCATTTTGTCTTAGCTAGTCAGGGCAGCAGCTGCACAGGGTCACCCACCAATAGGTCCCCAACTACACCAGCAGCATAAAGCCTTGGGGCGACGGTGGCACAGGAGTTAAGTGCTCGCCCCGTAATCGGAAGGTTGCAGTCTGTCGCTGTCGTTGTGTCCTTGGGCAAGACACTTAACCCACGTTGCCTGCTGGTGGTGGTCGGAGGGACTGGTGGCGCCAGTGCTCGGCAGCCTCGCCTCTGTCAGTGCGCCCCAGGTCAGCTGTGGCTACATCGTAGCTCATCCCCACCAGCGTGTGAATGTGTGTGTGAATGGGTGAATGACTGATTGTGTTGTAAAGCGCCTTGAGGGGTTCCAGGACTCTAGAAGGTGCTATATCAAATACAGGCCATTTACCATTTTACCATTTGAAACAAGGCAGGATGGATCCCTGCTTTCATGTCATCCTAAATCAACCATCTGAATGTTGCTACTGAACTCCAGACTCATCACACCGGGAAGAATTTCCAGTGTCTTCTGGTCCAGTTCTGGTGATCCTGTGTGAATCATGCCCTCAATTTCCTGTTCTTAACTGACGTTAGAGACACCAGGTGTGGTCTTCTGCTGCTGGAGTGCATCTGCTTCAAGGTTCAACATGATGTGGTTTAGAGATTCTGTTCTGTAGACGTTGGTAGGAACAAGTAGTTGTTTGAGCTACTGCTGCATTTCTATCAAATAAAACCAGTCTGACCCTTGTTCTCCAACACCAGTGAGACGTTTCATCCACGCAATAGATTAGATCAGACCTGCCCAGAAACACGTCACATTTAAATAATCAGTCTGAAATTCAGCAGGAAATCTCCACCACATGTACACATGAAACTCCCAAAATGAGAATATGGTGCAAAAGTCTATTTATGTCAGTAAATCCACGTAGACTGAGAGACCATCTAAAGGTTTAGGAACCCTTTGCAGGTCTTTTGGATTCATCAGCTGATCAGAGTGTGACACTTTGAGTCTAGAATATTAAACCTTTTTACAAAATTCTCATTTTTTGAGATTTTGAATGTGGGGTTTTCATCAGCTGTGAGACATAATCATCACAATTATAACAATTATAACAGCTGAAATATCTGGCTTTGTACGTAACAAGTCTGACTCATTTTAGTTTTACTTTTTAAATTGAATTACTAAAATAAAAGAACTTTTGCACCATATTCTATTTTTTTTAGATTCATCTGTATGCCTATTGAGCAGTAGCCCCTTTCACTGGCTAAAATAAGGCACTTATTTTGTAACTTCAACTTTTTTTTAAGCACAGTGAACCACAGGGTTAAATTTAGTGCTTTCACTGATCATAACAAAAGCAGTAAAGACTCAAATATGCTCAAAAGGTAAAAGGACTGAACCCTGTCATTATCAACAGAACGTTTGTCTTTCTAAAATAGGAGGTGGTGTCTGCACACTTAAAGCTCAGTGTCAGCTCTAAATGTTTAATGTAACCACGAAGAATGAAAACTATTGTTTATATTTCAAACCAAAGGTTTATGTCGCTCATGTAGGAATCTACTGAACCATAGCCAGAGTAAAAAGATTGATTACCTTCGTTCTAGTGTGGTAATTCTTTCCTCCATGTCTTCTCTTTGGCATAGAGCCTAAAAAGCAGCAATATACTTGAATCATTACCACCCATTTATTTCATGTGCATTTAGGGTTCTGAGAGAACTCATAAACAAGTAACAAACAAGATAATACATATTTTTGGAAATGCTTCAGATGCTTTTATAAAAAGCTGTAGTTGCTGCTTTCATGCAACATTTCTTTCTTGGTCCATCCTAGAATAACAGCGTGTATACAGGGTCTGAAGGTAAAATAGAAACCCCAGGTGCTGAGGTAGCTCAGAGTCCTCAGCCAGACACAGAGAGACCGACTGGCCCAACAGACCTCTTTCACTTCCCTTTGGAGCTTCTGATTGGCCTCCTCCGTCTTCGTCACCTCCCTCCTGGCGGCAGCAAGCTGTTCTTCTATTTCTCCAACCTGAAATGACACCAGAAAGCGGCATGAAGTGACACAAACTGAACCCTTTTAAATCTACGTTGCCTGCCATGGTTGTAAAATAGAAACAATATTCAAACATTAGCGTTTATTGGACTCGTACCTCAAAACGAAACAAATACAATTGTCGGTCGACTAGGAACTGATGGCTTATTTTTTCTTATTTTTGTATCGGCCCTAAAGCTTATTAGCCTTCTTGCCTTTATTCAATTATTGCTTTTATTCAATATTATTAATCTTTTCATGAGCAGCTGTAATTGTGTCATCTGCCTGTAGAGGGAGGAGGATGATCAGTATAAGGATCTTGTGTAATACTAGAAATTCCTGTAAGCTAAATTAGAGAAAGCTGAATAACCATGGGCAGATTAATGATGCCATCTTCATACCAGCTGGATTAACTAATGAAAAGAAATCAAGAACAGACCAGGAGAGCGGCAAAGTATCTGGATAAAATCTGTTGATATTAAGTTAAAGTCCCATTAGTCATCATCACACACTGGAGAAATTCATCTCCGCATTTGACCCATCCCTGTGGGGAGCGGTGAGCTAATGAGTCTGTTTATTAATATTACATGCACTGCAGGTCATCTACTCTGATAAGGATTGTTCATAATGTTTTATTAGACAGGACTCATTCATTTGAGGGGTTTTTGTGTTCTTTGGGTGCTACCATTGACATTATTCAGAGACACTTGAACTCGAAGCTCTCACATATTCATTATTTCAATGTATTTGCAGTGGTTCTCTTTAGTATCACTGAATGCATTGTGAGTCATTCTCTGTGAAAAAAAGCTCTGGATTTGGAGTCTTACTCATTATTATTCATATTTGGACATCTCAGCTCTGATTGGCTAACAGCAATGTGACTCTACTCCGTTTGTTTCGCAATGTTACTGTTTTAACTCCACAAATAACACAAGTCTGATGGAATTGTGGAGATGCTAATGTTAATGGTTAGCTTCTATTAGTTTAAATGTGCTCTCCTCTCTCCTGGCTGCAAAAATCAACAATTAAACTCATTGTCTTTATATAGCGTGGTCATCTCAAGAGTCATCTCAAGGCCCTTCAGAAAATAAACATTGTAATTGAACCTAATCATCAGTGCATTGAGTTCAGATCATTATGCCAGTTAGCTAAAAGTTTCCAATGTAAGAAAACCCAGCAGACTGCATAGAGTCACTGACTTGAGTAACACAGCCTTTAGTGTCTGTGAGCCATGATGGGTGAGTCCATGAATGCCAATTTACAGCGCGATGTAGATCTGTGTGGCTTTTTCTGACCCGAGCGTTTCCCAGTTTTTTTTCTATCAGCGGATAATCCAGGAAATAGGGGTAGAAGACTATTTTCACACTTAGCCAGCATGTGAAACTCAGAGTGACTGTAAATGGTAAATAGCCTGTATTTGATAAGCGCCTTCTAGAGACCTGGAACCCCCCAAGGCGCTTTACAGCACAATCAGTCATTCACCCATTCACACACACATAAACATAAACACGCTGGTGGGGATGAACTACAGTGCAGCCACAGCTGCCCTGGGGCACACTGACAAAGGTGAGGCTGCCAAGCACTGGCGCCACCGGTCCCTCCGACCACCACCAACAGGCAACGTGTGTTAAGTGTCTTGACCAAGGACACAACGACAGCGACAGACTGAGTGGGGCTCGAACCTGCAACCTTCCGATTACGGGGCGAGCACTTAACTCCTGTGCCACCGTCGCCCCTGTATTGTATTTCAACAATAAGGTAATGCTTCCTTTTACAGTCCCCTCTCCACATAGTAAGTCAAAGTGTATTATTGTTTCTGAGTTCTTAAACAGATATTACCATGTAACTCATGTTCAATTCTAGTTTTTATTTTTATTAAAGGGGCGTTATGGAAGTTTGACAGTCAAAACATGTATAGAAATAATAAATTTCTTCTTCATACATTCTCCTGCAATGCCCTGGTCCTGTCGAATGAGCCCTGGCATTTTTACTGTGATTGCCTGTTTTCCTGTAAAATCACAGAAAAAGAGAGTTGCTCGAGTCGAGCAGGCTGCTTCATGCGCGTTCACGCTCAGGCATAGCCCGTAGCATTTGCTATCAGTAGCTTTAGCAGCAGAGAGTGAGGTAGTGCGAACTCAGCGACTTTTTCGCTGTTCCTAACACCTAGTGATGAACCTAGCTACATTTCTGAGGACCTTAGCTACTTTCTTCTAGATATTTCCTACAAATTAGCAACAAAATAGCCATTTTCGCTCCGAACCGTTTTTTGAACGTTGTTTCAGCTGTCAAGGATATAAATGTCACAGATGCAAAAAATGTGATTTGCGCTTTAGCTCACCTAATAAGATGTCGGACTCTCGTGCAGAAGACCTGGGTTCGATTTTCGAAGTGAATATGGTTTAGTTAGAGTTTCTTTTTTACATTAATGGCATATTTTTTTACAGTAAGATGCCCAAATTTTTATTTGAGACTCGCCGAACGGCATTGAATTCACAGATAAAAAGATGTGGGTTCAACTTTCATTTCGGAAGAATTTTTCAAGCAAGGGAATGGAATGGTCTGATCATGCAGGAAGACTGACCCATCATAAACCTTTGTCGGCTGTGCTGAAGAGAAAGGTACAGAACCAAATTATTTAATTAATTAGCTGCGTGTTCTCCTGTCCTCTGGGCCACACACACACACACACACACACACACACACACACACACACACACACACACACACACACACACACACACACACACACACACACACACACACACACACACACACATACACACACACACGCACACGGGACTGTGTCAGCTGTTATTTTCGTTAAGGAGTGTGCACGTACAGCATGCGCACCTCGTGCATGAGCCTACTATTGAAGCTGCCGTTATGCTTTTGGCCTGAGGGGGCAATCACGAGCATAAAAATTCAAAACTCTGTAAAGTCCCTTTAATCATTCCCAGTAAATACTGCTTTACACAGTAATTACATTTTAACTTACCATGCAATTACCATGTAAGTACTTAGTAACTAGGGGACTGTAAAAGGAAGCATTACCAACAAGAAAACGTCAAATATGTTTCTCAATAAACTTGCACTTTAACTTAAACCATTTGAGTTGTTTTCACATTTGAACCCAGGAAACTAGCTGGGAAAAATAGCAAAAACATCATCCATCCATCCATCCATCCATCCATCCATCCATCCATCCATCCATCCATCCATCCATCCATCCATCCATTTTCATCCACTTATCCGGAGTTGGGTCGCGGGGGCAGTAGCCAGGCGAGAGGCCCAGACTTCTCTCTCCCCAGCCACTTGGGCCAGCTCCTCTGGGGGAATCTCAAGGCGTTCCCTGGCCAGGTGAGAGACATAGTCCCCCTCCAGCGTGTCTTGGGTCTACATTTAGGTTTCCTCCCGGTTGGTCATGACCGGAAAACCTCACCAGGAAGGCGTCCAGGAGGCATCCTGACCAGATGCCGGAGCCACCTCAACTGGCTCCTCTTGATGTGGAGGAGCAGTGGGTCTACTCCGAGCCCCTCCCGAATGACCGAGCTTCTCACCCTATCTCTAATGGAGAGCCCAGCCACTCTACGGAGAAAACTCATTTCGGCTGCTTGTATCTGCAATCTCGTTCTTTCGGTCACTACCCAAAGCTCATGACCATAGGTGAGGGTAGGAACGTAGATCGACTGGTAAATCGAGAGCTTCACCTTCTGGCTCAGCTCTTTCTCCACCACGACAGACCGGTACAACGCCTGCATCACTGCAGATGCAGCACCAATCCGCCTATTGATCGCACATTCCAGTTTTCCCTCACTTGTGAACAAGACCCCGAGATACTTAAATTCCTCCACTTGGGGCAGGACCTCATCCCTGACCCGGAGAAGACATTCTACCCTTTTCTGAATCAAGACCATGGTCTCAGATTTAGAGGAGCTGATTCTCATCCCAGCTGCTTCACACTCGGCTGCGAACCACTCCAGCGAAAGCTGAAGATCACGTTCTGATGAAGCCAACAGGACCACATCATCTGCAAAAAGCAGAGACCTGATCCTCTGGCCACCAAAACAGATGCCCTCCACACCTTGGCTGCGCCTAGAAATTCTGTCCATAAAGGTTATGAACAGAATCGGTGACAAAGGCCAGCCTTGGCAGAGTCCAACTCTCACTGGGAATGAGCCCGACTTACTGCCGGCAATGCGGACCAAGCTCTGACACCAGTCATACAGGGACCTAACAGCCCGTATCAGAGAGCCTGGTACCCCATACTCCCGGAGTAACCCCCTCAGGGCCCCCCGAGGGACGCGGTCAAACACCTTCTCCAAATCCACAAAACACATGTAGACTGGTTGGGCAAATTCCCACACACCCTCCAGGATCCCCCTAAGGGTATAGAGCTGGTCCAGTGTTCCACGGCCAGGACGAAAATCACATTGCTCCTCCTGAATTTGAGGTTCAACAATCCGATGGACCCACCTCTCCAGAACCCCTGAATAGACCTTACCTGGAAGGCTCAGGAGTGTGATCCCCCTGTAGTTGGAACACACCCTGCGGCCCCCCTTTTTAAATAAGGGGACCACCACCCCGGTCTGCCCGTCCAGTGGGACTGCCCCTGATGTCCATGCGATATTGCAGAGCCGCGTCAGCCAACACAGCCCCACAACATCCAGAGCCTTAAGGAACTCCGGGCAGATCTCATCCACCCCTGGAGCCTTGCCACAGAGGACCTTTTTAACCACCTCAGTGACCTCAGCACCAGAGATTTGAGAGGCCAACCCAAAGTCCCCACATTCTGCTTCCTCACTGGAAGATGTGTCGGTGGGATTGAGGAAGTCTTCGAAGTATTCTGCCCACCAATCCACAACGTCTTGAGGTCAGCAGCACACCGTCCCCACTATAGATAGTGTTGGTAGTGCACTGCCCCCCCCCCCCCCCCCCCCCCCCCAGAGGAGCCGGATGGTGGACCAGAGTCTCCTCAAAGCCGTACAGAAGTCTTACTCCATGGTCTCACCGAATTCCTCCCATGCCCGGATTTTTGCCTTGGCAACCACCCGAGCCGTGCTCCGCTTGGACTGCCTGTACCCGTCAACTGCCTCTGGAGTCTCACAGGCCAAAAAGACCGGATAGGACTCTTTCTTCACCTTGACAGCATCCCTAACCGCCGGTGTCCACCAGCGGGTTCGGGGGTTCCCACCACGACACGCACCGATGATCCTGCGACCACAGCTCTGGTCGGCCGCCTCAACAATGGAGGCACCGAACAGGGTCCATTCAGACTCAATGTCCCCCGCCTCTCCTGGAACATTTTGGAAGTTCTGTCGGAGGTAGGAATTGAAGCTCCTTCTGACAGGAGACTCTGCCAGACATTCCCAGCAGATCCTCGTGATACGTTTGGGCCTGCCTGGTCTGACCGGCATCCTCCCCCACCATCTGGGCCAACTCACCACCAGGTAGTGGTCAGTTGACAGCTCCGCCCCTCTCTTCACCCGAGTGTCCAAGACATGCGGCCGCAAGTCAGATGAAACAACAACAAAGTCGATCATGGAGCTGCGGCCTAAGGTATCCTGGTGCCAAGAGCACATATGGACACCTTTATGTCTGAATATGGTGTTCATTGTGGAAAATCCATGGCTGGCACAGAAGTACAATAACAATACACCACTCGAATTCAGATCAGGGGGGCCGTTCCTCCTAACCACACCTCTCCAGGTCTCACTGTCGTTGCCCACGTGAGCGTTAAAGTCCCCCCAGCAGAGCGGGGGAGTCGCCAGAAGGAGCGTTTTCCAGCACACCCTCCAAGGTCTCCAAAAAGAGTGGGTAGTCTGAACCGTAGTTTGGTGCATAAGCACAGACCACAGTCAGAACCCGTCCCCCCACATGTAGGCGGAGGGAGGCTACCCTCTCATTCACCGGGATAAACCCCAACGTACAGGCACCAAGATGGGGGGGCAACTAGGGGTTGTACGAACTAGTCGACTAGTCGACTAGTCGACTTCACGGCTCTGTAGTGACTTTTTATGCCTGTCATCAACTAGTCGCTGTCACGAGATAATGACTGACAAGATGCAGTCCTTGGAAAAGACAGCAGGTGATGAGCCCCTGTGCGTCTGGATCGAGGCGGAGGCAACGTGCTGTGCGGTACTGACACCGGCGGTAAAACGGACATTTAACCAAACTGTGACCTTTTCCCTCTTGCAATTTAACCTTCCCCTCACCCCATCCTAATCATAACCAGTTTGTGCATGCAAAGCTCTGATCGTTGACGTGCGCTCCAGACATTGCGTCCTGAGCACCGCCAAATCAGATGTCACCACCTCAAAAATAAATTAAACACGCGATCGTTCTTATCGGCTCATTTCCTTTCATGTTTTCTGTCTGTTATTTGTGCCTGATGCATTTCGCTGCTGCGGAGCGAGGCGCATCACCTGTTGTCCTCCGGTGACGCACCCCCAAGATTCCATTATCTCCACTCCGCTCCGCTCCGGCATGAACTCCGCAGCAAAAACGGTCCCGTTGTAGTCGGCCGGCGAGCAGCGGCACTCCGCTGTTTTTGCGGTCGGTAGATCTTTTAGAACTGCAGTTCAAAGGTAACTCATAAGGTGAATATATATGAACCCAGGTAGCAGTTTCTCTTTAGGATTGAGAGGAGATGCAGGAAGATAATAAACAGACAGGACAGAAAAATAGTCAAATAAAAACAAGTTAGTTTTTGTACCTGCTGGTTGCAACAAACAGACACCACTGAAGGTAATCAGAAGTGAGGAACAGAAAATGAAATAATTGTTTTAATGTTTAGAGCAGCAGGAACTCCGAGAGGCTGCAGGCGCATCAGTGAGTTTGCGGCTGCTGCGCAGGGGGAGTGGGGAGAGGACTGAAGTAGGATGCAGAAACTACCGTTGTTAAAAGAGATGTGTTAACTTAGAAAATGTGGGCGCAATTTTAATTGTCAAAAACTCCAGCGAACCTACCGACCGACCCCTCCCCGCCGCCGCTTCCGGCGTATGACGTCATCAACGACTAGTCGAAGTCGACTCGACTTTCATTACTTGACTGTCGACTTAAAAAAAAATAAAGTCGTGCAGGCCCTAGGGGCAACTAGTATGCCCACCCCTGTTCAGCACCTCTCAGTGGGAGCATCTCCAGAGTAGTAGAAAGTCCAACCCCTCTCAAGGAAACTGGTTCCAGAGCCAGAGCCATGCGTTGCAGTGAGTCTGACTATATCTAGTCGGAACCTCCCAACCTCACACACCAACTCAGGCTCCTTCCTCACCAGAGAGGTGACATTCCATGTGCCAAGAGCCAGCTTCTGTAGCCGAGGATCAGACCACCAAGGTCCCCGCCCTCGACTACCACCCGTCACACACTGCACCCAACCCCTTTGGCCCCTCCCACGAGTGGTGAGCCCATGGGTAGGGGGACCCACATCTCCTCTTCGGGCTGTGCCCGGCCAGGCTCCATGGGTGAAAGCCCGGCCAGCAGGCGCTCGCCAACGTGCCCCACCTCCAGGCCTGGCTCCAGGGGGGGGGGGGGGGGGGGGGGGGGCAGTAACCCGCATACAGGCGAGGGAACACGGTTTCCATTTATATAATTCATCATAAGAGGTCAATTTATCTTGTAGAGAAATCACAACGTTTTCAGGATTTGTGGTTAAATTTTAACTCTTGTTTTTATTCTAAACTAACTGGCTGTTGAACAATGCAGTCGCATTATTTCTCTAGTTTAAAATAGCCCTAAAAGGATAAATAATGCTTTAACTAATAATTAGCTTTGTGCTAACATGTGCTAGTAATGTTATCATGTTGCAACAGCTGGCCGTATCATGGTATAGATTAACAACTCAACTCACCAGTTAGGTTACGAATGTTAAAAACCGTGACCATTAGAAAACGTTTTTGGGGGATCCAAACAAAAGTGATCAGGCTCAGAGTGTGTCGCTTCTAAATCAGTCCAGGTGGAATCAGCTTTCTGTTCTCTTCTGTTAGGTAAAATGTGATGATTCTACAATTTCTCTGATTTGGCCAATTGTCAACACGTTCAATGTTTTATCACCACACCACCCAGCACACCGTCGGTAATAAAACTAGTCTTGTTTGTTAGGAAACTCCTCACGCTGATGTCTTCTCTCACCTGTCGGCACATGAGAGCCAGCCTCTCCCTTAGCTGGGAGAGTTCAGCTCTCTGTCGCTCAATCTCCCCTTCTTTCTGTCTGTCCAGCTCGCCGTCTTCCAGTCCAGCTGACGGACCATTGGGTAGCCGCTGGAACAATCAGCAATACAACAAAATATCAAAGGGTATAAAAAATGAGTTAGTGTCAGTTTTGAGCTCTAGAGGAGCCAAAGGCACACGGACACACCACAGTACCCAAAGTCTACTTTCTACCACAAACACACACACACACACACACACACACACACACACACACACACAACAACAACTGGAGCCAGCATGCAGAAAACCCTCCCTTACATCTTTCCCGCCGTCCACCCCTTGTTGACGTCTTTTAATTTGGTCTCTTAAAGAGATTACCTGTAAAGAAGTCAAAAAGGTCAAATGAGTGTTTTCTTTGATCTGAGAAAGCTGATGTTTGTGTAGATTCAGCGTTGCGTTTACCTCTTGAGAAGATGCAGCAAGTTGATCTTCTAACATGGACACTCTCTCGAGGGCCACACGGAGTCGCTCTCGAACCTGAAACAATGTAAAAGGGGGCACGGTTCACCCAAGTAGTGGCAGAAACGGTGTCGTGGAATCTCACGGTAAACACCTGAGAGGTCAAACACTAATTTAAAATGATGCAAAAAAAGCATAATTATTTATTGGGTGAAAAACTTTATGGATGAGGAATGTGTGTAGATGACCGAGACCTTCAGCGGGTCCCTCATTCTACCACTAGAAGCTGCTCAAACTCACAGTCAGAGATGTTCTGACATGTAGGAACATTTCCACACACAAGTACAGCAGTTGGTGCAAAACGCTGCTGCCCGTCTGCTTACGGGTATTAAGTGTCGTGACCACATAACCCCTCTTCTGTCCTCCCTGCACTGGTTGCTTGATTGTTTTAGGATTAAGATTTTATTGTTAGTTTTTAAATGTTTAAAAGACCAGGCACCGCCTTACCTAACAGATTCTGAATAAGCATGTTCCTAGAGACGTTTGAGGTCTGAGCTCCAGCTCCCTTTACAGGTCCCTATGACTCGTCTTGTGACCCGAGGGGACAGGGTCTTTTCTGCTGTGGGTCCCAGACCATGGAACGATCTTACTCTGCCTATAAGGATGGCTGAGTCTCTGAATGATTTTAAGTCTCTTTTAGAAACTCGCCTTTTTACCTTGGCTTTAAATCTCAGTTGAGCAGAAATGCACCTTGTTGGTTTGTTATTGCTATTAGTGTTTGAATTTCTTTTATGTGGTCATTTTTACTCAGTCCCTTATTTTATTTGTTTTATCATAGTTGCTTGTGATGTTTTTAACTGTGCAGCACTTTGGTCACTTGTGTGGAAAGTGCTCAACAAATAAAGGTTGATTGATTGATTGATTGAAACTGGTAAAAGTCACGTGTTCAAACTAGGTGTGTGTTGCTAATGAGAGCATCAAAAACGTAGAAAATTATCCTCAAATTAGTTTCTAATGAGACCATAAAGAAGTAAAATAAACCATAAACTAAGATACAGGAAGTGATGTTGTCTACTCTTAATTTCCCAGACCAAAATAAAGTAAATGTAAGTTCAGGGTACATCTACCTCGTACCATACTTAAGCTTTAAACAATATCTCTGCAAAAGATAACAACAATTTAGATCAAACAATGTAAAAAGTGACCTGTTTGTTCTGTCATTAACAGCAGCTGAATCACATTCTCCATTAGATAATCCCAGATTACACCCTACCCATAACCCTCTACACAGAGCAAACTTCAATTTCTTCACAAGTTGAGCCAAACAATCTAGAAATTCTCAAAAACTAAACTTCAGATCTGTCACATTTAGACATTTTGAGAGAGTTTGATGTGTAATATGTGCACGGTATGTAAACGTTGTGTCATTAAAGATTGATACCGATAATTTCCAATGCCACTATCAGATGATAATAGGGCGTTAATATCGGACATCATTAGTTACTAGAAGTTCTAATCCACCATGTTCTACCTGCACTGGTATGAAGGGAAAACACAAAATGTCTCAGGTCTGTTTGCTTTTTCACCAATAGTTTTCTTATTGGTTTCATGAGCATGGATCTTGCATCATGCTTTGTTAAAGTTGTAAAAAAAAAAATTACAAATCTTTGGATATTTTTTAAACGTATTTATCATTTTTTCCATGTTTCACATAATCTCTTTACCTTTCAGTCCCTGAAATTTCCAAGTTGCACCACTTGATGAAACAAGTTCAATAAGAGCAGAAAGTAAAATTTGAGATTCTAAAATAAAATCCACAGCAACGCAGAAAGGCTCCCTCATCTCACCCACCTTCTCGTCTAAAGCTTTGTGGTGCTCAAATAGAGATTTCAGGGCCTTGAGGACTTCCACCTCACTGGAGACCCCTGCAGGAGACTGGGCTTGCCTCTTGACCACGGTCATCCTCAGGCTGCGCTCGTGGCGAGACACTAGACACTCCAGGTGTTCGAGCAATAACTGAGTGGGTCGCAGGGGGAAAGCAACAGCAAGGTAAAGTCATAGGTTAGACACATAGTGGACGATTGAAGCGAAGAGGCAACAGAAAGCCAGAGAAGAGGCGTGGAGGAATGCAAACAGAGAGAAGAGTGGTGAGATGAGTTCCTCATAGGGAATGGGGGAAAGAAAAACACCAGAAGCAAACGACAGTCTCACACCCACACAGTCACAATGGGAGAAAAAGACGAGGCAGAGGCTGCTAATAGGCAAAATCTTACACGTGTGTTGTTTCTCTCCGCCTTGAGCTCTGCTATTTCCTCCTCCCTCTCAAGAAGCTGCTCCCGGCAAACGTTCAGCTCTTTAGTCAACACAGCAAACTCCTGTGGAACACAAAGCTGCATTCAGGGGAGCGAAAACAAACCTGCCCAACTTATGCTCCCTGCACGGGAAATTCAAGGAAGAAAACAAACTTCTGCAAAACAAATACGCTTGGCTGATTTCAGCTAAACACACAGAAATTGCACATGGAAAACTAAAACCACACACAAGCAGAAGCATGTTCTGTCAAACACCTGAGACCAGAAACGAGTGAGGCCGTTCATGATGTGAACCTACATAACACTGACACAGTTTCTCCCTGCTGCTCGGCCTCTTCTGTGAACTCTTATTCACGGACGAATGACATCACACAGTTACACGATGGCTCAGTGCTGGAATTCACAAGAGAGATCTCCCAGAAACACAGCGTCAAGAGGGTGTTTACAGCAGCAGAGGGAATACAAGAGCAGCGCCTCGAGTGGAGAGTGTGTCGTCCACGATAGCCTGCTCCGTCCACGGAGAATCCTTTCTTTATGTCTGTTTAACACTGCGATGCACGAGTAAGGGCTTGTGATTGTTAGAAGTCGCATGATATGTGTGTTTGTGAGAGAGAAGAGTTCAGGAGTGATTGGTGCAGATGGTGACACAGTGGGTTTGTTGGCTGTTGGCCTTATGGAATTGTTTCTTGTTTGGATCAGGGGCAGTCTCTCAGTCGGCCTCTCGCGTCATTCTGTTGTTTTCTCGCTGATGCGATCCCATTCTTGTTGTTTTTCATTCATTTAGAGGAGTTTGTTTTGTTGATTAATCTGGAGATGTAGGAAATCAGGAGTTGAAATGCTTTTCTCATCGTTTCACGTTTTGTTTGTAAAAAGAAAAAACTCATAATTAGTTTTTTTGAATTTCACTTAAGTCTATTTAGCCATTATGGCTTTCGAACATTGCGTCAAGTCATCAACATAAACAACGAAAATGAAAACCGTGAGCCAAAAACACCCCCTGGTCCCGGGGTCTTCAATTTTTTCAAGGCCCAGAGTTTGTTCCAGCAGACACTGTGAGGGCCAAATGCTCTTCTAAAATAAATATCTGTAATGTTTGTATATTAACATATAGATATTAGATATATTCATTTCTAATATTTTTTTGCATTTGTCAGTGTTTATGTTTCTGTTTCCTGCACTCACCCAGGCCACTAGGGGGTGACTGTGACATATTAGGTTTCCCATTTGTGACATCGTAATTCAAGCATGCTGTTTGCCACAAAGTACTGAATCTTTAGTTATTTTTCTTCAAGGAAGAGCTTGTTTCCTCCCTTAATTATAATTCCTTTAAATCTGCCTATCAACCTGGTAAATATTCTTTATTTGTTCATGTGTTGCTCTCTTCCCATGAGGGTTTTTTGCCAAGACACTGCAGGTATTCCCTATAATAGTTAAAAGTGCAAAAACTGAGATTCTATGAGACCTGAGTTTGTAGTCATTTCTGGTAAAAGGCTGTTTTTCAGTTTGTTTAATTTGATATAGAAAAAGGTAGAACATGCATCATGATTCCGTAATAATGCAGGGCCAGGTGGAAAGGCCTGAGGGCCGGGTGTGGCCCACGAACCAGCAAATGACAATCACTGCCCTAGTCCAAAGGGGTTCAAATGAAGGCAACCGGACGTCGTTGTTTTCTCAAAGACATTTTGCTTCTCACTCGAGGAGCTTTGTCAAGGGCCTAAAAGGCTTTAAGTGCAGGAGATTTATACGTTTTAACGTAAAAGAATGTGACGTTTTTTATTAAACATAAAACAAAACAGTTTCTTTTTATTGCTGCTTAAAGCTGTTATAGCGAATCTACAGAACAAGCTAGGTTTTGAACGCAAACATGGTCAGGAAACACTCACTCCTCCCCTCGGGTGTCTTTCCTGAGAGAAGGTTTTTGGACAAATGGAGAGAACCAATTTATTGATGTATTTTTGTTTATTTTTTTATCTCCAGAACATTCTTAACCCTCCCACTGTCTTCATGGGTGACCCTGCAAAGAAAGTTGACCATTGAGCAGGATTGATGGTTTATCCCCTGAGGTCCACATGGCAGGGGTGAGGTGGTGCTCACTCCTGCCATTTGGACCTCAAGGGATAAACCATCAATCCTGCTCAATGGTCAACTTTCTTTGCAGGGTCACCCATGAAGACAGTGGGAGGGTTGAGAGGCAATTGAATGAGGTGCATTCGACTTAGTGAAAGTGGGTGGCGACCTGCGCCCTTTCAAGTCTGCGTTCTTCCGGTTAGCCTAAAGCGTCACACAAGACGTAAACAAATGCTGGTGGAAGTGAAACAGATGGAGAAAAAGCAGGATATAAAAAATGGCCGAAGAAATGGACGGCAACAAGGCTGCAGCACAGCTTGTGTACGATCTGTACTGTTTGATTGTGTCACGTAACAGATTCACTTGTATCAGAAGGCCACTTCCTCGGTTTCATCAGTTCCAGAAGTGAGAGTGCCCAGGTCGGTCATAGTTGGGCTAAACTGGGACGTTGACTACATCCAGGAAAATTACCACGTTATCCGAGTTCTCTAGCTCTATTAGGAGTAGTTCATTCTGGTTTGACTTTAGCTGGACCAAGGTGTTTACACGCGTTTCTAAAGTCCAATTTCAGTCAGACTCAGGAATTAACTGGGCTTTCTGTGTTTGAGGCTCAGCACATAAAGGGCCATAAAAGGAGCTTTCCCAGGAACTGAATGTTAAAAATGAAACCAGGTGTTCCAGGTTTACACAGTCATGCCTGTGGATAATCAGCAAGATCCAGGTCAACTTGACCTGCATTACAATTGTGAAAATCAACCTCCCATGCCAAAGAATTTTCATTTGTGTCCGTTCGTTTTTTAATTTGTGTCATGATGACCTCGGTTTTGTCACAAGAGCCTCTTTTGTTGAAACACCATTTTGGATTTGTTGTTTTAAACTTAGTCCGAATCTGATCAAGAGAGTGACAAAGAATGCTGTCTGAATTTCCTTTGGTTAATTTGTGGAAAGTGGCTGAGCACATGGAAGCTGGGGAAAATATAAACCTATCCCCCATTCAAGGCTGAGGAGAACAAGGGCTGCCCCTACTGTAGCTGATAGGATCAAATCGTCTTCTTTGGTACGTTCGCAGCCACGAAAGGCTGATTTATTTATTCACACTCTGCTGAAGCCATTATTTATTCATTAACTTTATGGGTAAACCTAATGAATCCTCATTACACCATAAGGGGCATAATTACAGATTCAACTCAGGGCTACAAAACCCAGAAATGATATTATAGCAGAAGCGAGAGAAGCCTCCATGACTACTTTTGAGTGAAGGCCTATCACACCTGAAAACACAGATATCTGAGACAAACCTAACATCACCTCACCAAAACCCACCCAAACACAACAGATGGTAGAGAGACCCTACCTGTGGCAGAGCAATGGACAGCTGCCTCTGGAGCGACTCCTTCTCATGGCCGAGCTCTCGGAGGCGGAGCTGTGCCGTGCCCAGACTGTCCTGGGTCTCCCTCAGGTTCTCCAGCAGCCTCTCCCTCTCCGTAAGCATGTTGACCATCAGGGACTCCAGGTTTCCTGTGCTGCCACCTTCATCTCCTCCACCTCTGGGGTCCCTGCTGCTGAATCCCCCTGCGCCCATTGCACCCCCGGGGCCTCCCACTCCCGCCGCTGCAGGCGAGGGTGGGCCTCCGCCAGTCCCACTTCGCCCATCCTCAGATATGGTGGGCATCACCTCGCACATCATCATGAGACTGTGATGTGTGAGCCAAGTGACTATTGGAAACTAAATTAGGGGATTGTACGTGCAAAACGTCTCAGCTTGTGCCTGTATTTCGTTAATAATTTTGTATTAAAAAAGAAAAATATACATCTTTATGTCTTCAGTTGTCCAAAAATATCGTCCTCTTGGGCATGTCTACATGTCCATCATTCTGCTTTTGTTGCCTTTGTGTTGCTTAAAGCGGTGGACCTCTGCTCACTTGTCTTCTGTCAAACTGAGCTCTTATGTGTTGCGTCAGACACGGGATGTCCCTCTGTGGACGGGATTGGCCAAGGACAAGGAAGGGAATGGGTAACAGGAAAAGAGGGGATAACAGTGAGCCAACAATAAAAACTCTGTCTACAAGTTCGGTGTCCTCGCAGAGCCGATGGTAAGATCTGGAAAACAGAGAATGCATTAGATTAAATTAAACTGTGCGTCAAAAACAACCTGAGACATTCAGTTTAGCCAAAAAGTGAATTAAAAAAAAATCTTTCCACAGACATCTTTGGTGGTACCTTTGTTCCCAACAAACACCAGAACTAAAGTGACATGTTAAACACTTAAACTCCTCCAACACATGCAGAAGGCTGTCTATCTGATATGTGCAAATCCTGCCTTGAAATAAAAGCACCTCTGGATGGCAGATGTTTCTCCACAGCTTGTTTATATGACCTTTAACATTAAAGCTGTTTTCGTGGGTGTGTGACTTACATATGTGTGTGAAGGAAAATGCAGAATTACAAAGAGTGCATTTGATCACATTGTGATGTCAAGTCATCTTTGTTTATATTGATTCAACTCAGATGAAGGCTGGTGTCATTAAAGCTCCATGAACGTGTAAAAATACATCCTCTTACAATTCGATGATGGAAAACTTCCCCTTTCTGCTGTGAAATGGAAATGCATGTTTTATCACAATTTACACAATCGAGCCATACAACCATTATGTGTCCTAAAGAAAAATAAATATTAGCAACAGCTAGCATTAGCTGCCTTACGCTAACAGGCACTAATGGTTGTGCATCACCAGTCAGGATTTAACACACAAAGCTAGAGACAATCATGAAGGAAATACAACTTTAGCATTAATGACACATGAATTGTGTCAAAAACAAACCATGTTCCTCCTTTGCAGCTGAGGCAGAGCACTGAGTACCAGTGCAGTGATTATGTGATGTGTGAATGTGTCATGACATCATCTGAGTTGTCCACACTGCCTTCACGTGACTGCCTACTAGCTGTGAGGACGCGGGGGTGGTAGAGAGGACGATATGGACATGAGGGACAGGTTTAAATTGACGAATCCCATATAATAGTCCGAGCAGCGTCTGGGTGCACGTTTCTGATGACAAAAGCAGTAAAGAAGAGAAATGTTTGCCAGGAAATATGCCTCTGTCAAGTCCTGGTTGTTTAATATTTACACTGAAGGATAAGGTACCTCCTTGTGGATTGTTTACAAGAAGTAAAAATAATCCCCTCACCAAAGGAAATTGTGATCAATATTTTAAACTGATTCAAACTTAAATAAAATTTTAGCATCATAACACACATTACTGCTCAGGTTGGAATCATTCTGAGCCGGATGTCATCCAATAATTCTTACTGGTGATTATTTCCTGCACAAGAGCCGTTACCCTGACTGGCTTCTTAAAGGTTTGGATCACTGAGAAACATTTTTTTTAAACTAGTATTTCTGATTATAATCGGTCACACTGAGGTTTTCATGCAGACTGAACATGAAAATAGAGTTTCAGCCATAAAACGAGTCCAGCCACAAAAAACCTGTAAGTGACCTAAAAAGGATCAGTGGATAGAAATGTCAGGTAGGTAGGAAGTTTCTATGTGTTACTGCTTATTTCCGTGACATCACTTTGGTAGTTATTCTCCTGATAGCCGATTTTCTGCTACAAGAAGTTGCTTTGGAAAAATTGTGACATAAGCGGCTGGTCCATTATCACAAAGTGTTCCTATCATTGGGCATGTTAGAAACGTTATCTTTACTGCGCTATTTTTTTGCTAAATTTGTACTTTTATAATACATTACTAACATATTTATTTTCACTTCCTTTTCCTGCAGATCTTTGGAGGAAAATAACAGGTAAAATTGTGGTTCTATTGATAGACAAGCCTCTTATTTTGAAAGTAATTGAACTGGTTTGGTTTATTTGTTGGTTATATTTGGCTTTTTGGATGTTGAACCAGGTTAAAAGTTGTCATCACCATTCAACAAATAAAAGATGATTACTGTAATGTCCCATTCATTTCCTTCATCACAACACAGAGCAACAGTAATCATTTTTATTGCTATTTCTGGCTGTTAGTGTTTTCTTGGTTCTCTGCCTGGGATAAAGAAAAAATAAATCCTGACCAAAGTGAAATCACAATAATAACGGTAAGTTAAGAAAGCGAGTGCAGAGCAGTTGTAATGAGCTGAGGGTTTATGTCCCCTCAGCACTGACATAATTCTTCATACAGGTGGGGTAAGGTTAGATAATGGCTGTACCTAATCAGCAAGGACACCTGGAGGTTTGACGCTTTTCGTTACAAGACATCAAGGCCTAAAAATGGCGAAGCTGCAAGCTGGTAATCTGAGGGCTGATGCAGGACTGAATTAGCTCCTCATGCTGGTGAGCTGGCTCCAGCACAAGGCCTCCTCACTGTGTGTCCCACTAAAAAGCGTCTTACCTCCGTTTGTGCTCCACTAATGGAAGCTAGCATTGACTTTCTTTATTAAACGTGCGTGAAAGAGTTCAAACTTGAGAAGAGCTTTAGACTTCTCTGACTCTGACTCGCTGGATTGTTTTCAGGAACACGAATATATTGGTCCAGTCTAGAAATATCGGGATAGTTTCATCCAAAGGGGAGGAAATTTACTGGTTTTCTGCTTCAGAGCAACAGAAGATTTCTACAAACGCTTTAATGAAAGACTTGCAGATGATTACGGTCACAGCTGAAGCTGTGCTCAGTGCCCTGCTGGCTGTGATAACAGATTATGTTATTATTTAAAGGTGTGGAACACTTGTTTAATCAATACATTTGTAGTGCTCTCCAGCAGAATGCCTTATGAGTCATACTCTGGGGGAAAAAAAGCTCCGGTTCACCTGTTACAAGAACTAGTAGTGAGCTAGATCAGAGGTGAGCTTAACACGACACGATATTTGGACATCTCACCTCTGATTGGATAACAGCAACACGACTCCGTCGCTGACTGTTCTGCAACTGATGTTTTATCACCATTAATAGCATTAGCCTGGAGGCGTTGTGCTGTGTGGTGGAGTTGCTAATGCTGACAGTTAGCTTCTACTATGTTGAGACCTGCTCTGCGGTTTCCTGGAAGCTAAACCAACAACAGCCTTCCCCATCATGACTCAAGATGGGTGAGTCCATGAATGTTAAGTGACAGTGTGATGTAGATCTGTCAGGCTTTTTCCAATCCTAGAGTTTCACTGTCTATTTTCTTTCAGGAGCTAATGCAGGATTTTGGTGTAGGAGACTATTTTCATGTTCAGCCTGCATGAAAAACTCACGGTAATAATCATTCGAAAATGGATTTTCAGTGTTACACACCTACAGAAAACTGTGTGTTTCGTTTTAAAGCCTTGGTTCAAAATGCTATTTTATTAAATCCTTTGCCTGAGTGGTAAAAAATGTTTTAAAAAACCTAAAGAGTCAGGAGAGAGAATGTTCTCAAGTTGTTCAGAAGCCTGTTAATCACCACTTGTTTAAAACAGGTGACTTGGAGCAGGGAAACAGAGAAAACATGCAGGTAATGGCACTCGGGGACCAGAGTTAAACTGCTGATAAAATATAGCAATAAATCTGTAACTTATGAAACGTGTTTTCTTTTGATTTAAAAACAAAACAAGATGAAAGATGGCAACCAGCAGAAATAAATATCAATGTTGCACTGACTCTATATTTTAAAGTGTCCATTATCAGCTTTTATAAAAATGTAATTGTTTGGGTATGAACAGGAATTTAACAAATGCTTGTTCAAAATGTCTTCAGTGGTTCTCAAAGAAAAGAAGTAAAACAAAAGCAAGAGTTATTGAGAGTTAAGCTGTGATCAATGTTAGGAAGAATATCCTGGAAGCCATTTGAGCCGATGAGATGATGAAACACAGTGAAATATCACTTCTAGAGGTCAAAATGACAGTTTAAAACTTTAATTCCTTGTTTTTCTCAGAAGTTTATGAACAGTAAACATCATAGCTGTTGCAGATAGATATGTATTAATTATGTAACATCAATGCCAAAGTTGAAGAAGATGTCCTGTAAATTCCAGACATATTTACGTGTACACTCCGGTCAACAAAAAAGTCACCACCAAAAACTTGGACTCTCTAATATTACACCATCCTTAGCTTTGATCGCAGCACCCCTTTGCTGCGGCATTGTTTCAAAAAGCTTTTGCAGTGTCACAAGATTTATTTCCATCCACTGTTGCAATAATTTCTCACCATGATCATGTATTGATGATGGGAGATTCGAACCACGATGAAAAGCCTTCTTAAGCACATCCCATTGATTCTCAATGGGGTTAAAGTCCAGAGTCTGTGGTGGCTAATCCATGTATAACAATGCTGTCTCGTGCTCCATGAACAACTTTTGCACAGTTTGAGCTCAACAAATTCTGGCTTTGTTAGCCTGGGATATATCTGTGCCATCAGGGCAGGAAAAGGTCCATTGATAGAACAACCTGGTCTTACAGTAGCCTATACTCAGGTGGTGAGCTGACCTCATTCTTTGGGCACAGAACGTTGCTGAATTCAGACCTGACCAATGACAGCCATCCAAGATGATAAATCCAGATGGTGATTTTCATTTATTTCTCAGGCAGGCAATCGCATGGACACCTACTCGCATAAATGTCCACAGCCAGCACAGGGAGATAATTGTGACTTGTGCATTCTTATTACCTTCCACCCCTTGTCAATGGTTCTTAAAATAATGTCAAATCAGAGAAAATTAGATTCGTTTTGCCAGGACTGATGAGCTAAGGGCTAGTTAAAGCATGGCCTATATGACAAAATTAGTTTCAGCCCTAAAACGAGTCCAGCCACAAAAAACTTTCATAGCAGTTCGTGTTAACCATGTACTTGGAGAACATTTAAACTTCATTGAATTCATGGTATAAGGTAGCCTAGAAATTCAGACAAACTGTAGCAGTAACAAAAAGATTTTGCTCAGGAGGTTGGCCTAGCCACGATCCACCTTGGCCTCGTCAGGCCTACCATAGACTCTGACAAGTGTGGGCCAGGCCAACCACAGTTCTCTATGTTTGAAGAGACATGATGGGAGGGTTTATGGTGCGTTCGATTTGCCCTCGGAACTCGGAAATCCCGACTTCCGAGTAGGAAAAATTAAATCAAATGCCCCCCAAAGTCAGATCTCCTAGTCTGAAACTCGGAAGAATTTCAGAACTCCGAACTCGACATCCAAAATGGCAGCTCTCCGAATCAACAACAGCAAGTTTTGGTTGAAATGTGTTTATTTTACAACACACAGTGTTACATGTAGCACTTGCAACTAAAAGCTTCTCCTGCTCAAACATTTTTTGAAGATGAACTTTATATGTGTATATTAGTCGTCTTTATTTGTTGATAACTAACAAAACAGCAGTTTTCGAGGGCGTCGCCATAATGGAATCCCAACTTCTCAGACACGGTAACCAGAACGCGGATAACTCTTCATTCCTAGTTTCGAGTTCCGGCTTTTGAGGTAAATTGAACGTTCCATTAGCACCAACTTGGAAGAGTATTTACATGTTTTTTTAGGACAATGGCAGAGGCACGCAGAGAAACTGCAAATATGTCAGCGACTCAGGAACAACTCTCATTCGAAACGGCTTTGACATTAACTTTGGACTATTTCGATTAGGGCTTTTTTTGAGTTGGCAGATACTTATGTTTTTTATTTGGACAATGGACGGTGTATAGCAAACTGCCCTGCTTACAAATTTTTGAGTGATGAATGTTGTCGTTTGTTGCTCTGATTGGTCCGAACATTGTCTAGTTGTGTGCAGAGACAGTTAGAAAGACAACCGTAGATTTTGCCCCACGACTCAGTTCTGCCAATGCATTGTGGCCAGATTATAGCCAATATTTACACAGGCCTTCCAGGCTAGGTGCACAATTCTTTCTCTAGGGACAACTCCAGAAACATGTGTTGGCACTGTGGAACCATGACAATGCCAATATTGTTGAAGGTGCAAGCACATCAGTCGCAATCAGGCTTTTCAGTTTTTCAAAATAAACTGGTATTCAACATGTTTTAGTGGTTTCTCTCCTCCAACGCACTTGATTCAGTGGTTGAATCGCCTGTGCAGCAGCTCATCAGGCTCTGCAGAAGCCTGTTAATCACCTACTGATTGAAATCGGGTGTGTTGAAGCAGGGTTAAAACTAAAACGTGCTCCAGGACCAGGATTGAATACCCTTGGTCTATTTTAATCAGACACATATCTAAACCGAACACACTCTCTTTGAGTTTGTCAGTTTTTAAAGGTGTAGAACACTTGTTTAATCAATATGTTTGCAGTGGTTTCTAGTAAAAACACACTAGGGCACCCTTTCCAGGAGCTAGAAGATTCACATCACAGCTGAGCTTCAGACAGCAGGTTTTGGAGTCTTATTTCTTGATATTTGGACATCTCGCCTCTGATTGATAACAGCAACACAACTCTGACTCAGTTTGCTTTGCAACATTGATACTTTATCTCCACAAATAACACAACCCTGAAAGAGTTCTGCCATGTTGTGGAGTTGCTAATGCTAACAGCTAGCTTATACTAGCCAAAATGTTCTCTGCTGTTTCCTGGACGCTAAACCAACAACAGCCTTCTCTGTTGTGAACCAAGATGGGGTGAGTCCATGAATGTTAAGTGGCAGTGTGACGTAGATTTATCAGGCTTTTCTAATCCTAGAGTATCACCGCCTATTTTCAATTAGAAGCTAATGCAGGAGATAGGTGTAGGAGACATTTTCATGTTCAGCCTGCATGAAAAACTCAGAGTGACCGATTATAATCAGAAATAATCATACTTTTTTTTCAGTGAGCCACACCTTTAGTTCAGGCCATAGATAATGCATCTAATATTATAGAAAAATAGAAATGAACACTTAGGTGATAGTTAAAAATAAAACCACTTTCTGAATTCAGATCTATTAATGAGATGTTTTTTTGTAATTCAGTCATCATTTATCATTTTTCTATAGTTTCTGTAGAATTTAAGCAATTTTTATCTTAATGGCTTTAATCACTTTTTAAAATTAAAGCTGTTATTTTAGGGAACGTCCTTGTTATACATTTTGTTTAAAGTGTGACATCAATTAGGAGAGTTTATGAAAGATATGCTCACTAATTCTCATTGGAAGTGGTGTAAATAACCAGGAAACTTAACATTAATTAAAATCTAAACCTTCATAAAACATAGTTTTAATGGACCAGTATACAATATCTGGATTACAGTTATTTTCAGATGGCAGCAACCCACTCTGGAACTGGTCCCAATGTCGCTAGCCGTTAGCTTTTCAGTCCAGTCAGAAAGAATCTGTTTCTTCAAAGGGCTGTCTACAACAGGTCAGATATTTGTTGTTCATAACATTTCCACAGAAACCCACATCGAATTTTCTACATGAAAAATAATGTAACCAGTTTTAAAACTGCATTAGTAGAGAAAATTAGGATTATTTCCACTGCATAACTCATAGTAATACTAGTCTTTACACTGGTCTGTCATGTGATGAGTTTGCTACAACAAGGCTGAGTCCATGAAGGCAAAACAACAGTGTGCAGCCCGCAGTTTGGACTGAATGGTCAGCTGTGAGGTCACTGGGCTTCATGACCCATGTGTTTATGGACGCGCATGAAGGAGAGATGGCTAGAGGTCACTGGGCTTCATGACCCATGTGTTATTGGACGTGCATGAAGGAGAGATGGCTAACAGGAAAAACACGAGACCGCAGAGTTGCTTTTAAGCATCACATCTTTAGAAAAGTCACAAAGATATTTTCCTGCAGCCAATTGATGCAGGCCTGCAAAGCCCGGAAAAAAGGCAGCTTGTACATCTTATCCTACATTTTCATGTGCTTATTTGACTCACTGATGTGACAGCTGAGCTTTTGTGACAGACTAGTGTAACTGGGCAAAAGCGTGTTTCAGTATGTGTGTGTTTGAACATGTGATTTCGAAGCATGACTGCCCACACCATCATGTGTTTCCCTGAAGTGGTCAGAGATGGAGTGTCAAACAAGTCTCATCATTACAATTTAGTATAAAACGTTAATTATGTGCTAAAAAAGAATTTATCAGCAAACAAATATGAATATCAAACAAACAAACATATAAAATAAAGCTTTCAAATGACAAAGGTTCTACAAACCGATCTGGCACTATGTTAAAGAGGAGTTGCCCCAAAAACATGAAAACCATCACACTACCACCGTCGTGTTTGAATGTTGATGTTACTTTTCTGAAATACATTGCTGCTTTTACACTAGATGCAATGGGAAACACACCTTCCAGAAAGTTCTACTTTGTTCTCATCAGTCTGTAGAACGTTTCCCCTAACATTTAGGGTTCATCATGATGTTTTTGGTAAATATGGGATGGGACTCGCATTCTCTTTACTCAGCAGATGTTTGGGAATTGGATATCTTTTATTTTGCTCATATCTGCTTCCAGCTTCTTTCTTATTTTTGAAACATGACCTCTGACCTTAATCTGAATCAAAGGAGGCCAGCAGGGGTCTAGATGTGATTCTGGGTTCTACCGCTCTTGAATTTCTTCAGAATGAGGCATATCGTGTGCTTTTGGATATCTTTGAGCTTACGCCATGTTGGCAGACAGGTTATATTGGAGTGCTTTCTTCATTCGACAGGTGTGCTACTTCTACAGGGTATGGCTGCTTACAGTGATTAATCACAGTTGATTTAACAAGGAGGTAAATTACATCACCATCAACAAGGATGAAGGAAATTAACAATATCATCATTTGATAACTTCATTTTATTTTTATTAAGGTTAAAATTGTCTGCAATTGGAATTCATTTGCTGATGTGGAATATTTAGATGAGAAAAAGCCCAGAAGAAAACGTTTGTTTTATGGAGAACAGGATTTCTACACAAGTGAGCACAGGAAAGCATCTCTAACTGTTAAGTGTTTGTGATACAGAAAGGGGAGAGCGGGGCGTGCTCCTGAAGCTTAGAAGAGAGGACCTGTGTGATGTTAAGGAATGCATGGTTATGGGGTGCATTAATAGCATTTTAATGGAAGCAGATTGGCTGATAATGATCCCCGCTCGCATTCTCTCACATATCATGGAACAGGGAGACGAGAACGTCACTGGATTGGACTGGAGACTATAATATCGGTTTGTGATCATCTACACTGGATAATAACACACACACACACACACACACACACACACACACACACACACACACACACACACACACACACACACACACACACACACACATGTATACACAATTTAAGACTTTCCAAATCAGACGAAGATGATGAGTTACGTTGGAGGAAGACTGGGAAGCATCAGGATGTCCCCGACATGGCACATTTTCCAGTCTGCCATCTGGAGACATTACACAGATAGAGGCAGCCCCACTGAACCGGTGACAGCTCGGACTGGGAGGTTTGATTATGAGGCTCTCAGCGGTAAAGAGCGTAGGTGCAGCCATGATTAATTCCATGTAACACAGTTTTACTGTAGGCCAATTTACACAGGCATCTTATGATGATGTTACCCCCCACCCCCCAAACTGGACGCAAACGGGAGCGAGGGAGCGTGTCCTAATAAATACAAGCTGCCAGCACACCTGTCAAACCTGATAACGATACTGGATCTAACATCAGACAGCGCCTCAACACCACCCAGCCCAGAACAAAACGCTGTTAGTTCACATGCAGAACTGGATCCGCGCACATCTCTCTTCTGCGCCTATCTGTCCCCCACCACCACAACCATCACCACTCCACCCTCTCAGCGGAAACTGGGTTGCGGTGATGCAGGCGGTGTAAAGTTGCTTCCTTACCACAGTCATCGGGGGGAGTCCGTACTGTCCATGTTTGATGTTAAAAATCCCTTATTCGCCCATTTCCGCGGGATCCAGCTTGCTTCGGTGCGCGCGCCGCTCACCCCAAACGTGCGCGCTGCCTCTCTCTCTCTCTCTCTCTCTCTCTCTCTCTCTCTCTCTCTCTCTCTCTCTCTCTCTTATATATATATATATATATATATATATATATATATATATATATATATATATATATATATATATATAAATATAATTCTTTAATTAACCCTTTGATGCATAATGGTCACTACAGTGGACAGGTACTCAAAATTGTTATTTCTTTATTTTTGCTATTAAGCACAGCTGTTGAAGACTTTATTGCATGTGAGCCCCTCCGTTTGGACTTCAGTAAGTCAAGCCACCATATTTCATGTTCAGAATGCACACTGTCCACTGAGGTGGACGTGTAATAAATTATTTGTAAATTAACAAAATGTTACAAAAAATATTTGTTGAAAGTTGTTTCATTCACACCTGAAGATGAATGAAAAAAATTGTTAAAAAAATCATGGGTGAAGATTTCATAATTCATGCATCAGAGGAGAGAAACGTAAATGGCTGTTATTTTCCCCGGTGTCCTTTTCGTTCCACGTTAGGGAAAAAAATTATGATGGAGAGAGAGAGAGAGAGAGAGAGAGAGGGGGGGGGGGGGTGATCCGCCACCCTACCACAGAGACTCCCCCTCGGTCGGATTGGAAGGTAATGGTTCTTAAAGAAACATTCTCTCAGCGATTCTCCGCATCTCTGTGATTTACGCGCGCGCGCGTGCTCCACGCTCCCACGCGCACTCACGGGCCAATCAAACACCTGATTAATTATACAGCGTGTGTGCACATGAGAAAGGACAGCAGAATACCTGACATGGAGCATCTTTCCTCTAAGAGACAGAATTGAGCTCTTTACAAACAAACACTACAGGCCGTATGTGTTAATCCCCAGAAACTCATAACCATCTAGTGGGCTGAACTAAAATAAACGTGTATTTATTGGGACATATAAGCAACAATTATGAAACAACTTCTCATAAATAACATTTATGTGCTTCCTATGTTTCAACTTTTCTGCAAACACACAACATAATTCATGAAAATGAACTCACACGAGCGAGAAATTCTCAGTTGTAGTAAAAGGTGATTGAAATGAATGTAATGAATCTAATTGTGACGTATTTTGATTTTTTTTTCTGGAGCTAACTTAAAATAAATATATTAGGTATCTCCCTGGCATGAATTCGCCTGCTGACAGTTGCAAACAGATGTGTGTGGGCCGGTCTTTAAGAGAGAGAGAGGAGGGGGGGGGGGGGGGGGGGGGGGGTAAGCGAGAGAGAGGGAGCCTGGGAAGGGGTGATGTAATGTGTTCTCAGACAATGATGTCATCGACTGAGACACGGTGAGGATTTAAAGTGACAGAGGCTTTTTCAGCAGGTCCGTGTATTTCTGCATCAGGTCTCCTTAGAGAGCTGCAACCTTGCACCTGAGGGATGGGGTCTGTGTGTGTGTGTGTGTGTGTGTGTGTGTGTGTGTGTGTGTGTGTGTGTGTGTGTGTGTGTGTGTGTGTGTGTGAACATAAATTGTATACAGCCTGCACCATGATGTAGCACACAGTTTATTATTTATTATTCAGGACATTTGAGATACAAAACAGTGTTTTTGCAGGGGCAAAGGCAGGACATGTGCTGTCAGCTAAAATCGGATTCATGGTTTCTGTTAGAAAAAAAACAACAAGAGGAATCAAAGTGTTAGCCTCAGCTGCTGTTGGTCACCATCCGTGCATTTCCCCCTTCCAGAGTTGTTTTGTTTTTGCTTTGAGGTGGGTTTGTTTTTTCACACAAGTTAATTGGGAAAGCTTTATCCTGCAATAGATGAAAAATAGATTCTTTTTTTTACCTAATCTCAGGTTGTCTGATATTGAAATTATTCGCTTATCTGAAACATTTTAGTGGCAAAAATAAAAAAAAAGAAGAGTGAAACATGTAAGGGAGGAATGTCTTTTACAAATCACTGTTTTGTTGAGCCATTGTTAACTTAAATAAATAGTTTCTGTTTTGACATGCATGAAGACATGCAATTGTTTATCCATTTTTTCTAAAGAATGTTTGAGATTACCAAAGATCCCGCCTTTTTCTGATATCATAACTCAAAGTTGGACCCAATCTCGTTCACACAGCTCATCTTTCTTGTTCCAGTGATCATTCTTCTGACCCATAAATATGCCCCTTCTTCACTTCTACAAACTTGTCTTTATTACCGTAACCCTTGGCTTCCCAAAGGAGGCGCTCCTAATCACACCTCCCCCATCACACCTGGTGTTGGATGGATTGATGGAGAGTTTGTGGCCTTCATCTTGCTCTCTCACTTCCTTACTTAATTGTATCCGTTCTTTTAGTACTTCTTGTCTCTCTTGGTCCTCAGTCTGGTCTTCTACATCTTTCTTCAAACACGTTTGCTCTTTGATCGGGATAGGGTTAGGGTCATCCAAAGTCTGATTACCATTTATTTTTTGAACGCCAGGTTTGGAAATGTTTAGCTCAGATTTGTTCTCATATTCTTCTGGAGTACTTTCTTCATGAACATGTGCCGACTCCACTAAAACCTGGTCCTGGATTTCATGTGTTGATTCTTGAGTTTTGGTAACAACAATACTTTCATCTGATGGCGAATCCTGCTTGGACCTCTGAACGCATGACGTTCCATCGCCAGTCGGCTCTGATTCAGTTATCACTAACTCTTCCTCCTGATCTGGTCTTGATGATGGTTGATCTTCGTTCTTTGTGATGTCTGAGTCTGAAATACTGATGTCACACGCAATCTTATAGAAGAGGGAATGGTTCTCTTTCATTTTCTTCAGGCTCTCACTCACCTCTAAAGACAGCTCATTGGGATCGATGATGCCATCCCAACCCAGAGACCGGTTATCGGCGTCTGGTCCATCCGTGTTTGGAAGAGGTCCTGAGGTGGGGATCTGTACAAAGCCTTGCCACTGCTTTGTGGAAAGGAACCACTGAGCTCTCAGATCAGACTTGAAGTTGTTGTCCTCAGCCGTGACTTCTTCAGCCCTCTTCTGCTCCTCTGAGCTGTGGTTGCCTCCATCTTTGTGAAAGATGGTCATGGACGAGACGTGATATGGAGAATCTGGGCGTTTGATTTTAGTGTTTCCTGCTTTCCCACAGTGACGTGTTTTGTTCTCTGACTTCACCTGACTTTTAGATTTGTTAAGATGTTGATTTTTATCTTCATGTTCCTGAGATGTTCCACCAGGAAGCTGACATTCTGTTGTGCTACCCAAGTGAACCAAGCAGCTTCCATTTCCTGAAAATAAAGACAATTTGTTGATTTTATACTTTGACCCTCATTAAGTTTGGGTAAATTTCATGTCAGTACCTTTTTTAATCTTTTGATTATTAGCCGTGTCGAGGGACACCTGGTGCACCTCCTTCCTCCTCCCCCTGATTGGATGCTGATTGTCTGTGGTCTCTCTGACTGCACTGAGAGATAAACAACCAGTTTGCTGTCACTTTCTCCTTTTGAGCACTCAATCGATTTAAAAGATGACTCACAAAAACAGAATAAAGTCCCACCTGCGCATGACTCTTTCTCGTATTCGCTCGACTCGTCGAAGCTTAGCGTCTCGCTGCTCAGGGCTCAGACTGAGGTCATGGGTCGTGTCGGGTGTAGGAGGGGTGGCAAATTGATCCTCTGCCTATAAATACATCACACTTAATTAAGTAGATATTAGTTTAGAGCCGCATTTCTGATTTATTTTCAATACCCCCCCCCCCCCCCCCCCCCAATACATATAATTTTGTTTTTTACGTGTCCTCTCGGGGGTGTGGTGGTGGTGGTGGTGGTGGTGGTGGGGGGGTGGGGGGTGGGTGCACTAATTTAGAACCACTGGTTTGCAGGGACATTCTGGCCCTTTTGAAGCAATCATCTTTGTCAATTTTTTTAATAGTTACTGTCTTACTTGTAGAAAGCTTCCTGAATGGCTTGTGTTTTGAGAAATAGAGATCATGTCCTACAGAACTGATCAGCAGCAGGCTGTGACTCTGGTGTCAGATGTGGCCCACTAATAAGGTTGCTTTTACATTGAACGGCATCCATATAGGTTATTAAACCATTCAATTTTATTTGCAAAATCTAATTAAGGTAATTAAATGTCATTTTAGTCTGAGTGACGATCAGTACATTTAATTTGCTATGTAAAGAGTAAGTCACCCCCCTACTAGAGTCTTAATCTGTCCACATTTCCTGTTTGTAAAGTTTGCTGATAGGAGTCGGTGCCTGGCGGACCCAGAGGGCGACGCTGTGGAAATGTCACCAACATAACCCCCACCCCACCGCCACTCAGAGACTCTGCCAGAGAACTGAGTCGCTAACAAACACACACACACATACACACCGCTGGGAAGGAGAAACAGTGGCATGTATACTTGTCTGGAGGATTTCTCTCCACCTCCTTCATCAGAGGAAAGAGAGAAAAGGGAGGAAGATTTTTTGGAGGCGAGCAGTTCCAAGCCGTATCATTTCACGTGTTGCCTGAGGCCAGTGGGATGAGCCAGCTGGAGGCGTGGCCGAGACTCTGCTGCTTCAGAAACGCATGCATTTAATCACAGCTTGCATTTCAAGAAAAGCAGATCCTTTGTCATTGCATGACTTCCTGGAAGACCGATATCACTGATGCGCAGTGCTCTGCTAATGGCTACTAACATGGAGCAATTTGAAGAAGTTGCATTGCTTGGACTAATGCAGCATTTGGGAAAACACGTCAGCTGCTTCTCTTAACTTGTAAAAATAAAAGTAAACTACCTGTAAACTACAGAGTCCGTGGCACAGACATTTTTCAGATTTGGTCTTTGACCTCTGCTGTGCCAGGTGGCACCGGAAACTTTACAAAAGTCGGGTTGAGCTCCATTTTTAACACTTATGTAATGTTTGTGCATCGCTGAAAGCACCAGACAGAATGACATTTTGATCTTAGCAGTAGTTTAAGAAAGTATTCATACGAACAGCTGGGAAAACGCTCCATGTACTCACTACTCTGTAAACAGTCAGAAACAACGTGTCAAAGAAGCAACAAAAAAAAAAAAAACTAAAATCTCTGATAGTTTTCTAAAGTAAAATTCTGTTGGTTTATGATATTGTTCTGGCAATAGTGACTGTCTAAACATCACGTGCATTACTATAATTCAGCAGCGAGGTGTGTTGAATCTGCAGCTATTGACGTGACAGCGGGACTTCCCATGTAAGGAAGGTCTGCCACCAGTTCACCGCTCAGGCGTCAGATCACGGTCTTTTATCTTCATTTGTCCAACTGGAACCTTTAGTCCTGCTGTAACACTGATTGTATCAGACTCAGAGTATGTCTCTGGTGTTAAAAGTTAGTCAATTTAGGTCCTCGATCATATTTGTGGCTGTTCTGGTGTCTTTTTAAAGGGTATTTTATAGATATTTAGTTACATTATGAGTAATACGTAGAAATGCTAATAAAAACACCAAATTATACAAACAATGAAACAGGAACAAATAGAATCTGGTGCGATTTCCATTAATTTCAGTAATTCAACTAGACCATACAAAGGTCCAGGAACACTTTCCAGATGGTTTCTATTTGCAATTATAAACGTTTGTTGGTTTGTGTTTATTTTTTCATAAAAAGCCTTTTGTTTAATTAAACAAGCTTGAGTTTACGGTAATAATATCCATGTCTAATGTTTGATTCTCAGCCTCATTATTTATTTATTTAAAAATAGCTTTGAGGGCACATTTTTCTGAACGACTAATCAGCGATTAATTAAGATTAATTAATTACAAAACCTCTAATTAATTAGATTCAATTTTTATATCCACTCCTTTTTTATATATAGACAGATTGAGAAATGGAGTCAACTAAATTGCACTCCTAATTTCATGGTTCGAGAAACTTTAGGAGTTCTGGGTTATTTTTTATTCTAGTTACCGTAAATCCTCTAATACAGGCCCGGGCCTGTATTTGACTCAAGCTCATCAAGCGCCAGGCCTTTATTGGAAGGAGGGCCAGTATTAGAGGCAGGCCTCTATTTCTATTTGAGCAAAATGAACTAATGGTTCGCTGGAGTTTTTGACAATTAAAAGTGCGCCCACATTTTCAAAGTTAAACACATTTCTTTTAACAACGGTAGTTCCTGCTTCAGCCATCTCTCCCCCTCCCCCTGCGCAGCGGCCGCAAACTCACTGATGCGCCTGCAGCCTCTCGGAGTTCCTGCTGCTCTAAACATTAAAATAATTATTTCATTATCTGTTCCTCACTTCTGATGATCTTCAATGGTGTCTGTTTGTTGCAGCAGCAGGTACAAAAACTAACTTGTTTTTATTTGACTATTTTTCTGTCCTGTCTGTTTATTATCTTCCTGCATCTCCTCTCAATCCTAAAGAAAAACTGCTACCTGGGTTCATATATATTCACCTCATGAGTTACCTTTGAACTGCAGTTCTAAAAGATCTACCGACCGCAAAAACAGCGGAGCGCTTGCTGTTTGGCGGCCATATCAGTGATCAGTGCGTCGGAAGACAAGGTGATGCGCGCAGCGCCCCGCTCCACAGCATGCAGCGAAACGCATCAGGCGCAAATAAAAGACAGAAAACATTAAAGGAAATGAACCGACATGAACGATCGCGTGTCAGTACCTACGGTCTGGCACAGCGCGTTGCCCCCCCCCCCCCCCCCTGCGAAATATCAAGAAATTCTTGTTTTTTTTCATCAATTTCATCATAAAATGCACTTTTTGTAATAAAACTGAAAAAAACCAAGTAAAAAAATTTTTCTTGAGTTTTACCCCCAAAAAGAGAACATGATCATACGATAATTCAATAGGGAGCGTGGTTTCACAGACGCGGAAGTGATAGCGTCGGTGAAACGCCGGCTGCTCTAGGAAACCCCCGAGCGTTCGAGCGTCAACGAAGTGACACGGAAATGCCGAGCTTTCCAGAAGTAAGTAAGATAACTTACTATGAGCTGATAGTTCGTTGGATTGATCGGTAGGTTGGAAACTCTGATCATGAATCTGAAGAAACGATGACTGAGTGGTGAGCTGGAAAGGCGACTTCCGTTTATAGCCGCGGTTTGTGACGTAGGTGCGACGTGGAGGGAATCCCCGCGAGGGGCATGCTAGGAGTCCCTACTTCGCGGATTTTCACCTATCGCGGCCAGGTCTGGAACGCATCTACCGCGATAAACGAGGGATTACTGTAGTTCATACACCCCCTACTGCTGCTCTCCAGAGTGTTCTGCAGCATAATCAGCACGTTCTCTTTGAACTTGATAGTGTAATGACCTGGCTGGGGTTGTAAGCCAGGTGCATTCTGGGTATTGTGTTATATGTGTTTCCTATCGTTCTGCTAGTTCCTATGTGCTGATTTGCATGTTTTGTGAGTGTTATGTAAGCCACAGGGAAGGTGATGTGTGTTCTGTGGAGCGGGTTGAATTAGCATGGTTAACTGACACCGTGACTCTGTGTGGTAGGAGCGTGATAGAGGATCGTGTCTGTAGCGTTACAAAGCGTTGAAGAAAAAGCCTAATAAAGGTCTGCGTGAACCCCTACTGCCTTCTGCTGGTTGATTTGGGGACTATAACCCTGCCGCTGGGACGCTCGTACTTGCTTGTTACCACATTCTATCCGGCCACAATAAGAGACCGGCCATTATTTACCTCCGCTGACACCGGCCAAAATTGGAGACCCAGCCTTTAATTGAATACCGGCCTGTATTAGAGGATTTACGGTATTCCTTTTCTTATTCCAAGCTGTAGTTCTTTTTTAAAACACAGAACAGTTTTGTTACCTGTTTTCTCGCTACGTTTCGTTTGCGGCTGCAAACTTCCTCAGGCCTTTGCAGCCCGCAAACGAAACTGGTAACAAAACTGTTCTGTGTTTTAAAAAAGAACCAGCTTGGAATTAGATATACGACACAGCAAGAACACACCTAAGATATTCCTTTTCTTACCCGGACATCCAGGCCTTCGCTTCTTCCTGAGTTTGTTAGGTCTTGAGCCTGAATGCCTGGAGCTTCTGTTTCCACGGTTGGGCTCCCGTCTGGACACGAGTCCATCCTGGAGGCCCAGGATCTTCCCTGATGTTGCTGTCTACTTGTCTTCATTACTGAATCATCCTGGTCAGGGCTCTCCAAAAGCCATCTGTTTGGCTTGCATGGCACCTTTTTGCTCCGTTCAGCCAGCTGAAGCTGCTGTGCCTCAGGTGGGATTTGTTCAAGCAGAGGAGCATCAAGCTCAGGTGGCGGATCCTCCACAGAAACCTTTCTAGCCACAAGCGAGGATGGTAGGATGGCTGTAACAACTCGCGTTACTCTTAAAGGAAATGGGGTCTAAAACAAAGAAACTATTATTAACTGCGACGCAGTCCGTGAGAAACGTCAGTGATGTGACAAACCTCTCTGGCTTCTGAACTTTGAATCTGGGGCTCCTTAGCAGAAGCTGGAGGTTTCTTCTTGTTAGTCACCCTCTCCTGGTTCCTCTTCATCCTCTCAATCTGCTCTTCTTCACTCATCTTTGTTTTTAATTTCTAAAGATATTTAGAATTTGTGCCAGATGTAAACAATGATGCTTATTGCTGAACTGTGTGTGTGTGTGTCTAATTGTGTAGGTGTGTTTGCCTGCATGCCTGTGAAAACACACAGCCGCAGAAAACACCATAAATGTGTGTGTGTGTGTGTGTGTGTGTGTGTGTGTGTGTGTGTGTGTGTGTGTGTGTGTGTGTGTGTGTGTTAGACGTGCATGCACAGTGGATGGTTGGGGGTTAGGTAACAGAAGTGAGAAACCATTGCTCTGAGAATGAACCTCTACCTCCCCCTGTTGGCTACAGCAGGTAATGCAATATGCCCTAATTGCAGGAAGAAACGAGGGAACCAAAGAAAAAGAATTTGGCTGTGATTGGAAATATCTGCTTCTATATTTAGTGTTTTGGCACACATTAGAAAGGATATGATAAAGAATCCAACCTTTGTTGATTGGACGGTAGCATCTGCTGGGATCCACTTTGAGCCAGACTGAGATTCTGAAGATAAAATTGGAAAATGAATACAGAAAGTAGAGAAAAACAGAGGAAATGGGATGGGGTTAAGGATAAAATGCCAGGAAAATGGCACGTCATCTTTTTAAAGATGTTCATATGAAAATAAAACTTCATTATATATGTATGTTTCTTGTGTTTGTATTATTTGTGCCAACCAGCTGGAGCTCTCTGGGCTTTCATATTTAAGAGGTCAGGCTGGATTTTTCCTCTTCTGTCTACAGGATCAGCAGCCTGGGAGTAGATTCCCTGAGACACACAAACACAAGAAAAGGATATTTCACGCTCAGCTGTCATCATTATGGTCCCGAGCCCAGCTTTGGGTAAAAAAAAAATGCTGAGTTGTGCTTGAGATGATCTCCAGGAATCAGATCAGACAGAAAAATGTTCCCTTACAGAATGATTTCACTTTATTTTGTGCAGTATAAGCGACCCCCTGCAGTGGCGAGAATCCGAGCTTCTTACCTCATATGGAGACTCGGGCCAGCCACGGCCCTGGTCCCTGATAGGGTGGCTCTCCTGTAGCTCCAGGGGTAAAGGTGGGCGGATCGGGGGCTCTAGTTCCAACTCCTGCAGGGACTGTAGTCATCACTAATGTTACTAAGAAACTCTCAGCTAGTGAACGTAGCTCAAAACCAGAATCAGAATTTGAAAAGGGGACAATGTGAAAGAGTCACACCACTGGTAGTCTTCCTGTGGGAGAACCAGGGGACCCAGGAAGTGGAACTGAGGACTGGAACACTGGGAAGGAGACAAAAGGTCACTTTTTAAACCCGTGTCAGATCTGGAGAGTTAGTCTGATTATTTGTGCAAATAAATCACAGAACATTCAACATATTTGTTTATTTTGGACCAAATTAAGATCCCGAAAATTACCACAAAAACGTATGTAGTGTATGGGTGAAACAATTAAAGGGCATCCTTTGTAAAACCTTTATTAGTATTTATATTCAAATATTAATAACAACAATAATGTTTTCACAGAAAAAACTAACTAACGATCTTATTTAACAACTTTTAAACTTGCACTCATGTGTTACTTTTCTTTTCCATTTGTTCTGGTGTGTTTTAATGACACTACTTTTGTTTCATTTACTGATTTGAATTAGTTTAGATCAATTTTAAATAAATTTACACACACACACACACACACACACGCACACGCACACGCGCGCGCACGCACGCACGCACGCACGCACACACACACACACACACACACACACACTTTTCAGTTTCCTGGTTTTGATCCCTCCATTTATCGGATTTTAATATTTTTACACATTCGGCACATAAAAACACAATTATTATTTTAATAGCTGTATTACTAATACTAACCATGAGGTCTTTGTAGTCCAAGCAGGAGACAGAAATGATCTCTATTGACCTTTAGTCCAGCAAGGATGTCCTCCATCATCCACAGCTCTCTCTGAGCCTGAGAATGCTCCTGATTAGGAAGAAAGAAAGTTCAAGAGGTCACATGTTCCACCATATAAACCCACAACACCATCACTGGTACAAACAAAAGGATGTGGAAAACATAACATTTGCTGTATGTGTAATAAATATGACTGAAATGACCTGTGGCATCCCAAAGTTACAGATGTGCTGCAGGTGTGAATGGATGACGGATAGTTCACTCTCCATTCTCTCATACTGATTCCAAACTCGCTCCATTTCCTTTAATTAAAGATCAGATTTGTTATAAAATGTAAAAATGCAAAATCTCTCTTGTGTTCCTAAGCTCATTACCAGAGACACATCACACACTCTGGCTCGAATTGTCACCAGCTCCTCCAGCAGCAAAGCCTTCTGGGTCAGCGCTTCCTCCAGGGCCTGGGGCCCCTGGGTCTTCCACTCCTCCACTTGGAGCCTGGACATCTCTAATGCACACTGAACACTATCCTGCGAAAGTAAAGACAGCAGAACATTAAAGGCACTTTTGGCATTTTTGCTTGCTTTTGGCACCCCCTAGTGTCTGTTATTAATTATCTGTCATCAAACCAAACCCAAACCCCCTAACTCCTTGCTGTGCGTTTGTCTTTTTAACACCTTAAACTAACAGTTAAAATGTCTCCCAGCCTTCAATAGTGTCTACAGGAGTGGCTCATCACTAAATTAAACAAATCAGCTGTGTTCATGACCTAAAACATGCAGGAAATGTGCTGCTAGCAGACTGCAGCGCCAGGTATGTCCCAGGTAAGTCCCAACAGAGCAGTCCGCCAGTCGCAAGTTGTAAAGTGGAATAATCTGGCCACAGAGGGCGATAGAGGCTGGATGGCCTTTCATTAACCATGTAAAGGGTCGTTTTAGCTCATACTCGCTCAAGAAGATGATTTAAAAATATGGAAAACTGGCAAAGTTTGGCTTTAATGTTTTAACTTTACACATAATTAATACTTAAGGAACATTGTTCTCATGTTTTCTTAGTTGATTGAGTGTAGTTGTTGAGGTTTTCTGTGCAGACATGTAATTATTGACCTACATTCTAACTCAAAATCAATGAAAACCTGATAGTTTATATTCTAGAGATTTTGAAGTACCACTAACCTTATCCATTTGTAGCTGAGTCAGTTCCACAGACAGAGACTGAAGCAGCTTGTCACACCCACACAACCTCGTTAGCACGGCCTGAAAACACAAAATACAACTCATCTCTGCACTGGAAGGAATATTTAAATATTGTGTACAGTTGCCAAACTCTGAACACTCACATCTGCATCACTTTCCAGAGGTCGGATCGGAGGCAATTCTCTCACTTCTGATTTAGAAGTCTGAAAAGTGTCAGAGTCGATTTGACATTCAGCAGAAATTTTTTTATGACCATAACTGGGAATTTATAAGTCAGAATTATTCAAAGATACATTTTTGTAAACATTTTAAAGATTTTACATTGACTGATTTTTACTTTTTAGGAAAAATGTAAATAACTAGGCTGCGTGAGGTTCAGCAAAGCCTCAGACAGGTGGCCAGGACAAAAATCTGAATAGATTAAAACGTGTGCAGATTTGTGATGCTCTGCAAATCAGCAAACAGCCACTCTAGTGTTCTAGTTTTAACTTAAAGCATTATCATGCAATTCATTACAGACTCTACGGATGTATTTCTATAGATAACAGATACAAAACATTTTGAGGCAAAAATAAAACACATTCCATTCTCAATACCCCTAACATCTTTTAATCATTACGAAACAAGCAAAAGAAAATAACTCATATATTAAAGGTCTTAAAGATCGGGTATCTGCTTCACTGGCCAAAACTGGCTTGAACATGTCTGCAAAAACTTTAAATTGTGCATCCTTCAATTTCATCCTGGTTGAAGCAAAGCAGTAATATGGACACAAAACAAAAGGATAGCAACACACACACACACACGCACACATACACACATACATTATCTTTAAGAGGGAAACACAATAAAAACAACAAAACACAGATGCAGTTTAACTCCACAGTCTAACAGACAGGGCTGTACCATAGCTGGCGGAAGCGCACAAACAGATAAATGGCTGCAGTGATGTTGGCGGCGGTGTTGTGGGGGGTGGGGAGCTCTCGATGAGGGGGGCAAGGGTGGCAGTAAGTCTGCCCCTGTCGAGTGGCTCTGAAGGAAGAGACAGCATGAACAGAGGACTCACCATGTTTAGCACAGGTTTGTTTCTTTGAAACGCTAGCGATGACACATAGCAACCTGATCGACCTCAGTTCAGATAAATGTGTTAAACGAAAAATTAGCAACATTTTTATATTTTTAAATGATCATCTTGAGGCAGTGTGTGATAAAATGACTCTTTACCGAGTTAATGAAAGGCCACCCAGCCCCTATCACCCCCTGTGGCCAGGATATTCCACTTGCAACTTCAGAGTTGCAGGCCCCCTCTGTTGGGACTTGGAAATAGTTAGCTGACATACCTAGCGCTGCAGTGTTTCCAGCATGTTTTAGATCATGAGCACAGCTGATTTGTTTATTTTAGTGATGAATCACTCCTGTAAGGAAAGCTGGGAGACATTTCAGCTGTTAGATTAAGGTGTCAAAAAGACGAACACACGGCGAGGAGATAAGTTTAGCTTTTGGTTCTACAAACGGATACTAGGGGGTGCTAAAAGCAGGCCAAAACTGCCTAATCTCCCTTCAGTGAGCTAATGGCTCCACCTAAACTAGCTGTTAGCTCATCAGTCCTGAGCTTATAAACTCTATTTCTCTGAACTGAGGTTATTCAAGAAGCCATCTACGAGTAGTAATTAACAAAAACTTTGACATATAAACATTATTTCAAATGAGTTAAATATTCCTTTAAGAGTGAGTGAGGACTATGTATGTTATAACTGTTTATTTATGAGTCACCTTTCCTAAAGGTCTTCTCCCAGTTGATGGATGATGGACAGAACCATAGACGGGTGCAGGCTTTAACAGAGGAAGAAAAAAAGGTCACATTTTTAAAGTTGTCCTCTGCTCCACATCTGTGTTTGTTCTGCTTATTATAAACCCAGTGACTCGCCTCCCATCATGCAACTCATACAGATATGGACATCTTGTCTTTTTTTTTGGTGTTCGTTGATATTTTATTCATGCATTTGCAAAATTGATGCCATTTAGCCCAAGTTTCATTTTGGGAAAGTTGCTGCATCTTTTCTTGTTTTAGAAGTTAGCAACAACTTTTCATTAGAACACATCTACCCAGATTACTTCCTTCCAATGTCACATGTTCAGTGTTTAACTGCTACAGAAGATCATCCCAAATCCTTTAGACAGCTTCACCACAGCTACAAAGGAAAGTAGCTAACTTAATCTCAGATTGACTCCAAATTTATAATAATCATATTTATAAAAAGTTGCTGTTCAAGTTCATTTAAAGGTAATATGACAATAAACCTGCTGGAGATGGGCACTAGCCCCCCATGACCCTGTGTGGATAAGCGGGTTCAGATAATGGATGGATGGATGGATGGATGGATGGATGGATGGATGGATGGACGGACGGACGGATGGATGGATGGATGGACAGATGGATGGATGGATGGATGGATGGATGGATGGACGGACGGATGAATGGATGGATAGATGGACGGATGGATGGATGGATTGACAGACGGATGGATGGATGGATAGATGGACGGACGGATGGATGGACAGATGGATAGATGGACGGACGGATGGATGGATGGATGGATGGATGGATGGATAGATGGATGGATGGATGGATAGATGGATGGATGGACGGACGGATGGATGGATGGATGGATGGATGGATGGATGGACGGACGGATGAACGGACGAACGGATGGACGGACGGACGAACGGACGGACGGATGAACGGATGGATGGACGAATGGAAGGACGGATGGATGGATGAATGGATGGATGACGATAAACCAAAAATGATCATCACCTTGCTCAGGCTATGCCATCTCTCTGTGAGCGGCGTGGTAGGAGCAGATTTAAACTCCAGCTTTGGTGAGGCCGGTGCGAAGTACAGGTTCTGGAGCACACCGGGGTCATCAAGGGGTCGAAGGTCAACCCTTCCCACCGGTGTGTGAGGTCGTGACCCCAGCTGTCCTCTGGAGTTTAAGGAACCCAGGATTTCTGCTTCTGTCAGAGTGTTTTCTCCAACAAGAGAGGTGTCCTCTCTGCTTGGACCAGCAGCTCTTCTTCTGCCTAAGTCAGGAGGGCTCGGAGTTCTGTCTGAGGGGCTTTGAGAAGCAGAACTGATTATTTATCTATGCATCCTATTAACCAAACATGTTGATGACATAACAACCACCTGTTTCTGTGATGAGCACTCCACCTCCCTCTATGCTCCGACTGGGACCTCCCCTTCCTCCCAACAAAATGGCTCGGTTCACTCAGGGTCCGACTGACATGCTTGTGTTTCTGGGAGGGACTCTCCTCCTCCTCAGGGTACTTTGGGCCGTTCACCGACTCACTGCTGCCCCCTATCTGTGTGAAATCCTGGTAGCTTGAGCAACGCCTGAATGGATCAGAGGCGAAACACACAAAGGCTTGTCATCATGGGTTGCATCTACAATCTGATGTCCACCCTAAACCAGAGCCTAACCTGTTCATGGTGCTGTCGGGCTCCATAGCAGCCGACTGACTCAGGGCTCTGACCCAACCCAACATGTCCTCCTGAGTATCGGCACTGAAGAAGTATGACCGCATTCCCTGGTGCACCACCTAGTTTTACACACAATACACAGGAGATGGTTACAGGGGCACTTCATTTAGAGCAAAATAATATTACCTTTGATGGTATTGAAGAACAACTGCAACATGAATTACATAAACTACATGACTACATAAAAGGTGGAAGACAGATTATAAATGAGGTTCTGGCTCATTTGTGTGTCTGTTAGACATTAGCTGTTCATCTGTTAGCACACTGTTTAAAACTCTGGCAAAAGCAAACAGAGATATACAGGTCTTCATTTAGTTTTTGCATTTAAATGGTTAAAAATTTGGTGTCAAAGATGCTTAGAGTCCAAACTAAACAGACGTTTATTACCTTGAAGGTGAACTTCCTGTTCTTGCATTCTCGCGGTGTGCAGAACAGGATTTTGTAGCTTGGTAGTGGGATGCTCCCCAGCACAGTTTCTTCTCTACTGTCTGATTAAAAAACATCAAAGGGAAATTTATGTTTTAAAAAAGATAAAAGCATAATTTAGATCACATAAATCCTGCTTATCCAGATGAAACTCGGAACTAGTGCTTCTACCTTTGTAGTAATACAGACAGAAGTTGGAGAGGACGAACCATCTTCTCTTCCAAAGCTTCAAACCAGAGCTGTCCTGCAAAATGAAAGTAACCCACAGACGCCAACACACTCATGTATGAACACCAACGACATTCTGCAATTCTTTAAGCCAAACAAACAAAATTACTTTCTTGTTGAGCCATCCTCTGATGACCACGGAGCAGTTGGGATCTCTTTTTGCAGACTGACATCTTTTCCCAAATGTCTGCACCTTTCCATCGCTTTCCTGCTTCCAGAGGAGAGAATAAGCATCATGCATAAATACACTCCGTGCATTCACCGTATCACATAAATTCATCCAAGCACGATGTCAAGGAGCCGTGCAAACACACAAACAAACCTTCACGACAGGAAAGTAAGAAATTGTTGCCACACTGGATGCTTGACTTACTCTGTCCTGCTCGTCCATTCTGACAGAAAACAAAAAGACTTTTTCAGAAAAATAAATAAATGATCAGCCACAAACAACAATCTGCAATGGAAAAGTTTGCAAATACTAAGATTTGAAAACGTGTCACACTCTCTGCTAAAAAATGGTAAAAGTTTAAAAATAAATCCCAACTGATGCTGAACATGTGCTCTCACGCAGCTCTGCAGACACACAAACGTAACTCTGTGAGGCTCAGGCCTTACCAATCAGAACCAAGATCTTGGTCATTAGAAGTGGTCCGTCAGTCGCAGGAACATAAAACCAATTCCCAGGTAGAAGGGATTTATTTATTCATTGTCCTGGTGAACCGTTGAGCCCTAATGAACACTTAATGTTGCTGCTCTCCCACTTTCAGCTAAACTCTCCCACAATTCTATTCTGAGCCATCATGGGCTAGTGCGCATCCCCACCAGGAAAGTGACAGGTGACAGCTGCGTCGCTGTGGAAACAGGGAGGGGCTCGGACTGTGTGAAAACCAATCTGGCAGCAGGGGATGGGCTGGTATGAGAGGTCAGCTCAGAAAACAAGGGTAGAGAACTGTAATGTAGACGGCTAAAGACACAAAACCACAAAGAAAAGGAGTTAGGGCCAGAAAGTGGAACATCAGGGACAATAATGTAAAAATGTGTTGGGTCCACTTTTCTCAGATGTGTGTGTGTGTGTGTGTGTGTGTGTGTGTGTGTGTGTGTGTGTGTGTGTGTGTGTGTGTGTGTGTGTGTGTGTGTGTGTGTGTGTGTGCGCTGCTACTGCTGACCTAAGTAACATCATTGAACACCGTGGACACATGTGCATTTGTCCCTAAAATATTTTAAACTGTTGCTCATCGATCTGTCTTTAAGCTATTTGTTTAGTTTAAAATAAACTGCAAGATTCTGCAAAAGTTTTAAACCACCACTATCATCTTTAGCCTGCAGACAGCCAGACTTTCTGGTAATCTTTTAAAAAGATCGATATTTTGAGCTTTTATCCTTTTTCCTGTGGATTTCAGTTGCTTTCTCTCTCATCGCTGTTCTTATCCTGATAGTGTCTCATGTAGTATAAGCTTTTAAATAAAGAAGTGAAAAGGCAGGGGGCAAATGAATGCATCTCTCCAATACTGGATAAAAGTCAGATCTGATTGTAAATAATTTCTACTTGCACAGATCCTACTGTTCAACCCCGGGTCCATTTACATGAACCCGATCAGCTTGGATCTATTAATATAGGATCATTGGAAAAAACAAATAGCTTTCTATTAAATTGTTCTATATTCAACTTTTAAGGCAAATTTAAAACTTCTTCTGTAAAAGGTCATGGCCTGGATCAAACGTAAAGGAAAAAAACTGAAAAAGTCTGAAAATAAACTTCAAAAGCTCTTTGAAAAGTAAAAATAAATAAATAAATAAATACAAAAATAACCTATTGATCATGACCAAATTAAGAGATTATCAACCAAATCTGGTGGCGTGGAAACAACGGTCTGTATGCTTAAACACAGTTCCATTTACCCACTTGCCTCTAAAAGCTTCCTCATCGACTAAATCTAAAAGTTTGAGCTGCATCACTTAAATCTAATCTTTATTTCCCACCCTGTCTAAATTTAGTGGCATCGTGACCTCGGAGCAACACCAGCTCAGATGAACCTGGAAGATAAAAACGTCATGAGAGAAAACCGTGGGTCACCACGAGGTCTGACAAGGTTTGGCATCCAGCTCAGCATCGACCACAGTCAATAGCGAGACTCGAGTAAATCAGACCGAAACAACCAGCTCTTTGTGAGTCTGTAGCCAGCAGGGGCTACGTGGGTGTGGTGAAATATTTGGAAAATCTCCATCTTTGTCAGGCAGGGTCTCTCTGCTTGGAGAGGAGAGGACTTGAAATGCTAAAGAGGGATGAAGCTGAGGACAAACGGCAGGTCTGTGCGTGACACAGAGTGAGCTTTGTGATGCCCAAAGTCTTCGAAGCAGCATGGGAAGCTGGACAGAGAGCATGTTGAATAGATTTGCTCAGATAATAATGGTTTCTGTCTGAATCAAAACATTTGCATGTCTCCTGCATTCTTCCATCCTTTAATGATGGGGGGGGGGGGGGGGGGGCATCTGTCAGCTGTTATGACCTTTATTGGTTATGTTGTGATGTAAACCAAACCAAGAGAACATCAAGTTTGATGTGCTGCAACCAAAGAGAGCTGACAGATTTAGGGTTAGAATATCAAGCACATGAGGTATAGGTGGGACAACAGAATTAAGTAGTAATAAAAGTAGGTCTGTTGTGTTTCAGTCAGCAGCTCGTTTCACACCAAACTTACGGAATTTATACAAATAAAAATGTTAAACCGTTCCATAACTTCTGTGTTGTTGCTGATTGCTGTTTCTGCTTGAGGTCCTATAATAAAATGAGAGGTAAGCCACATTAAAGGTGCCATATTGCCTCACCTGAATAGATGTGGCCGCCTGCTGCCGGATTTAATCTCCATCACTTGGCATTCTTCCTCACAGCATCTCCTCGGACTTGGCTCACCTCTTTGTTGCTTCCACAAGTTGCCTTCACAACAAACGCTCTGCGGCCCTCTCACACACGAAGCTGCCTCGCTGCTGCAGACTCTACCTACGCTGGGCTGTGTTTATTCCTTTAACAGTAAACTCTCTGTGAGTGTCGTACTTCCTCCCCCTTTTCTTCTTCAGCACCCCCCCACCTCCCTCTTACCATGCACTCGACAGCATCTCTGTTTCTGGCCAAATGCGTTTGTGACTCAGGAATCTACTATCAGCCAGCCGTTCTCTATGTGTAAAGAATTTGGTGCTCAAGTTTGAATTTACTATTCTACTTTTCTCTATCACACATGGTCAAGATTGTGCATTTCGTGCAAAAAAGTAAGACATTTTGTGTTTGATTCATGTTTCCCGCAGTTTTAAGGAAGCCTGTTGAAATTAAATACTGTGCTGTTAAAAGCCTGATTAGTTTTCTTTAAAATGAGGAATTACTTGTATTGACTATAACTTCATTAGTGAACTATGCCTTCATCATATTGGATTGTGCTTGGCATATCTTACAGCTGGGATGCACAATTTAAAATGTTTAACCCTTATACAACCTTAGTGCATTTTTTTGTGCTCAAAGGACATTAATGTTAGAAAATTAAAGGGTTATATTGTCATGTTCTGTGTCCCTTTGTTCCCCGGCTCCTCCAGTTCCCACTCCAGGTTCTCCTTTTGTGTTCTCTTAGCGCCCTCATGTGTCCTTTGTCTGCATCTCTGTTGTGTGTCTTAAGTTGTATCTCCAGCCCTCTGTAGACTTCCCCAGGTGTCCTTCTAATCATTCCCCATTCCTAATCAATCTTTTAGTTATCTATTAGTTGTTTGTTTTTGGCCCTCAGGCTTTAGGTTTAGTTTTGTGTTAATGTTTATCTGCCCTCTGGTCAAGCTCCTTCCCTTCCCGTTTTGTCAGTTGATTCCACCAGTTTCTCCTCAGCTCACACTCCTCACACCTGTCACCTGTTTCCCTGATCACCTCCCTCCTGTTTATAAGCCTTGTCTTGTCACTCTGTGTTTGTCGGTCCATTGTTGCCGTCAGTGTGTTTGTTGTTTTTTATGTCAGTGTTTTCTGATGCTCTGTTTGAGCTTTGTTCACTCGTCCCAGTTCTGTGCTCTAAGTGAGCTTTGGTTCTTCTGGACTTTGGATTTTTGGCTCACTGCCATTTGGATTTATTTTTGTTCTTCCTCCAAATAAAGGATTTTTACTTTACATATCAACTCCTGCCTCGTGTCATCCTGGGTTCTGCAATTTGGGTTCCAACATCCCTCCCATAACGTGACATATATAAGGGTTAAAGGAGCTTAGAAAATGCTTAAATTTGACAATCTGACCCTGTTCTATGATATAAACTAATCAACCAACACGTCTGGCTCCTGATTTCATGTCCCAATCTAAGTGTAATGAGTTTGCAACATTTTTCAATGAGAACATCTTAAACATCAGATTAGCCATTCACTCCTCCATGTCCACCAATAAAACCAGACCACTGCTACTAGAATGTCAGTTTTCTATGTGATTAGTGCCAAAACACTAGAGGACATAGTTCAGAGTTTACACTCATCTACCTGATGTCTTGATATACTTTTATTTATTTTTTTACCGTGTCCTGTCTGGCTGTGAAGCAAACAGAATTGATGTCTGAATGCTGGTGACAAGCCTTACAGATTTACTCTCAGGTGGAGCATCAAAGCATCTGCTTTTAATGTCACGCCTGATACTTAAAACTTTATTGTTATTGTTTTTTGAATGCTTGTAATTTCGACCGGACACGGAGACAGAGGTGAAAGAGAAAGGAAGAGACAAAAGGACGGGGGAGGGGTTCCACAAAAATAAACAATCAATGATGAACAGGGGTCCGCTTCTAGACCTGCAGAAGGAGAAAAAAAGGGGGCACACAACAATAAAACAAGATCAAGCTATCACTGTGTCAATTTGATGAAGAACTATAAAATCAACATTGTTTTACTGAACAATCACACGATAATAAATCATAGTGTATTAAGTGCCAACCACAGCCTCAAGACATGTGTTGAATGTGCCCAAGTCCATACTTATGAGAGCACCATGTGAGCACCTGTGTGTGTAGACGTGCTTGTACAGTATATGTAAGGTTTCTCTATAGGAGCGTCCAATAGAGAGTGTGAGGGGCCACAGATCTTCCCCCCAAAGATGTGTAGGAGATGGAAGGAGCTCCAAGTCTCAGAGATCCAGGGGCTGCCCCAGAGCACAGGGACCCCAGGGAGACAGCAACCAGAAAAGCCCCTGTCCCCCTCAAGAGGCAAAGAGGATCCACAACCAGCAGCTGGCAGAGTCCTGGGGGATATCAGCGGGGAATATCAGCGGCATGAACTGGGTGGGACTTTCAGGCACAGTCCATAGTTGGTTCCAATCATACCTCACAGACAGGAGTTATGTTGTGTCAAAGCAGATTACCTTGACATACCCCCATGTCCCCCAAGGCTCGATACTTGGACCACTGCTTTTCAATCTAGCAAAGCTGCTTTTAGTCACTATGCTGCTCACAGATGGAATTGGCTTCCTCATGACCTCAAATGTGCCCCAAATCTAGTAACTTTTAAATCAAAATTAAAATCGTTCATGTATTGATCAGCCTTTGAATACATGTTTCTTATGCTGCACTTTCTGCACTGTAACTGGTAACCTTTTGCTCGCCTTTTATCTGTTTGTAAAATCTGAAATTAATATCTACATTTCTTTGTTTGATGTACTGTGTTTGCTGTTCTTGCTTCTGTAAAGATTTAAATAAAGCTTTGATTGATTGATTGATTGATTGATTGATTGGTAAAGAACTTTGAATTGCCTTTGTGTTTGAAATGTGCTAGACAAATAAAGCTGCCTTGCCTAAAGTCATCTTTCATAATTTATATTTCTCCTAGGTCCCTCATCTAGCCTCTACAGCTAAACGAATCTTTTATGTGAACTTAGAGCTTTGACCAATAGATTTGATTTGACACAAGAAGTTGTCAATCAAAGAAAATGCACCCTAGTTCCCATCATGCACTGTGAAGTGATACAGTCAACTTAGAACACGACACCAACACTAGCTTGAAAGCTAATTCACAGAGGTGTGGACTC